GCAATTAAAGCGAAATAATAAGGCTTGTATTTTTCATAGAAGAATGTATGGGACAAAAAGGAATACTACAATCAAAGGGCATTTTGCTATGCTCACCTAATTAATTGTCATTGGGCTTCTTAAAATTTCTCATCTCCTTATCGTTTTATGTCAAATAGATATTGCCTATCCTACCATTTGTGTCGTTGAAATGTTTTCTGATAGAATGACAATTTATTGACCGAAAAATATTCGTATTTTGGAAGAGATCAAACTTGAAATTCGGGAAAATTTCAAAAAAAGCCTTTTCTAAAAGAAAGGGTTCAAAGTGGACATTGTCTCAAAAAGGGGCGGTCAAGTTAGTTTAAAATAAGGGCCTGAACACGTTTTCTGGCCAAATCTTCGCCGGACATTTGTTTCCGACAACTAGAGGAGCGGAAAGTCAAAAATTCCAGCTAATAAAAAATGCTTAAAATGCTTAACAAAACAAAAATCCCAAATTAAACTCTTGAGTTCTTCGTGAAATCGTCGATTCTCCGTGCTTGAACCCCTCGTTCTTCCTCTCTCGATGCCTCAAGTCTGTTGCCCAATAGGAAATCGCTCCTCGCCCAAATTAGAGGCAGGGTTCTTCTGGCTTGAATCTCCCTTCAATAAAGTTAACATGGAGGTCAAATTGATTTTGGAATTTGCTTCGAACCAGCTGGATTTATAGCTTGAATCGAAGAATTCGTTTGCCGTCCGAAACAAACCCAAACCAATTATTGTTGACAAAGCCTCCTGAATAGAAGACTTTGTTTACTACAGTTAGTTGCACTCAGACATGAAGTGCGCCGCTTCGAAGGAGGGCTGGAGGAGCGTCACTTTCATCTGAATTTCAGCGTCCTCTGGTTTTCTTCTTTCTACCGAGATCAGTGTGCGAAATTGGTGCATCTGATCCTTCGTCTGCCAAGAATAGGCTATTGCAGCGACATGTCGAAAAGGTGCGAGCATACCGCGGTATGTCACAGCACATATCGTGGTATATCACTCCGATGGCAGCGACTGCTGTGATGGTAGGAGGAATGTTTGCTTTGGCTTGTTTGTTCAGATTTGCGTGTGTACTCTGTATCATTTGGAATTGATGCATGTGAGTTATATTTTGTAATGGCAAGTGTATACATCATTTTGTAATGGCAAGTGTATACATCATGCTTTTTCTAATTGGATTTGCTGCCATCGGGGTCTTATGTGCCGGTCGTGCTCCCTGTTTTGCAAATTTTTAGTGTTTTCGTCTTGTTTTTTTCAAGTATATGTTTTGTGTTAACAACTAATCCAATTATTCGTGGGAGTTGTGAATCTTCTATATTCCACGAAGTAAAGACCTAGTGGAGTTGTCAGAATTAATTGTATTTGATCGACCAAACTGCTCTTTTGGCATTTGGTGCAATTTTGTTTATGGACTGGCCCGACCCAAACCCGACCCGACCCAACCCGATCCATCCGTTTGACACCCCTACCTGTACACAACGGGTGGACAATCAACAATGAAACAAGGTGTCCAAAATTTTCCTAACATAACACTTACTTCGATTTATGGATGTGCATGAAAATGCTACGGCCAAAATTTTAACAAATCAGAACACCTACTTCAATTTTGCAGTATGTATGAAAATGCCTCTAGGGTTAGCTTGGGAAAATTACCAAGAAAGTCTTAAACCTATTGCAATTGTGCTAATTCAATCCTAAACCTTTTTGTGTTTGTGCCAAACTCATAGAATCAAATCAAATCGTGAAAAAATTATATGAATAACATTAATATGTACTAAAAATCATATACTTTTTAATGCCACTACACGCTAATGCTTCTTACTTTTAAATATTCGAAATAGTTTAAAGAATAAATTATATAATTCTTACATGTCAAAACCATAGGCGACAGCAGCAGCAGCAGCAATAATAATACACTAGATTAAATTTAAAAATAACAATAACATCATCTTAAAAATTGAACCATATCCTAAAGCTCACTCTATTTTCACTCATTTATTGGCTCCATCCCTCCCCCCCAATTAAACGGATTACAATATCTCTTGTGGATCCCGCTCTTTAATTTATTATTATTTATTTTTTTAAATTTTTTTGTTTTGATTTTTCCATACATGGAAGTTGGAACTACCCATACCCCTCTCAATATCATTTGTTGATTAAACGTGGGCCCCACTCTTGACTTAAGATTATTTTTTTGTCTTCTTTCTTCTTTTTTGGTTTTTTCCTTTTCTTTTGCCATGTTTATCATTTGAACTATTTATTATATGTGTCAAGGAATAGTTTGAATTGATTTTGGAGAGTTAAGGCCTTTCAAAATAGAGTCTTCAATTAGGGAAATAAATTTAAAAGGATCTCATTCTTGTGGTAAAGTTTGTAAAGTCCCTAAATTCCATTATCCCAAAGAAGACCGGGCAGAATTGGCTTTGTTTTGGGCAAGATTGCATTGCTTTGGAAACAAAAGATTCCATCTACCCTAATTCGGGATATATAAAAAAAAAAAAGGTGAGGTTATTCTCACCTCTATATGACTAGATTCACTCAGTTTCACTGGATCAACCAAATTATCTTTGATGGTTTCCACATTTGTATGATTTCCTTCTATTTAGATAATTTCTTATTACGATTTTCTTTCAAATATAACTTAACACTGTTCAGAAAATAAAAATTGCCCTTCCTCTTCAGCATTGCTGTCGTGCAAGTTACCCATTTTTTTGTCACTCTTACTGAAAATGCTTACTTTTATGCTACATTTGTTAGTTGTTATTTGATTAGTGTCGGAAAATATTATCAAATTACTTTATTTTTCAAATCAAAGAAATTGGTGATTTTTTCTACCATCAAGACACATTTTTGTCATAACATATAAGAAGTTTTGGGAGCATCTGGAAGTACACTTAGGCTACGTTTGACAGTCAGGATAAAATTCAAGATATGATAACATTTATCATATCCTGTGTTTGGTGCATGCCCAAGATAGGATAAAGTCGGATATAAGGGGAATATAATACGGATAAAATTATTCCACGGGGGATGTGGGATAAAGGTGGATAGGATTTCTAATATCCATAATATAAAAAGTTATTTTTTTCGAATAACAAACTGGTTAAATTAATAATATTAAAATAAAATTTGAATATAAATAATAATCTAATTCTAATATAAAAAAATTCAAAATAACAAAAAATAACAACAATTTCGTTTTTATTCCTATTTTTATTTATATATTCAAATTTCTTTCTATCTTATGATATAAATTCCATATATATAAATGAATAAATATTTAGTATTTATATTTATTACATATTGTAAGTATATTAGTATAGTTTACTATTTAATAAAATTTTATTAAAGAGTAATGGAAGGGAAAAAAGAAATAAAAAAAGAAAAAAAGAGAGGCATAAATAATAAAAAAATAAGCAAATAAAAACAAAGTAGGCAAGAGTGTCATGAGAGATTCTTACCATTTCTGTTTGTGCAATTTTTAGTTTCATTTACGCTGACATATCGTTCATAGCAAATAATAGACATGATAATATATGAAATAATCCGATTTTATTACTACGATTCACCGAACGGTAGTTAGGATATAGCAAAATCTCTGGATTTCATATCATATCCTATCTAGTTCTATCCTAACTAAAAATCTAGACGACCAAACGCAGCCTTAAAACATTGACATGAAAAAGGTTATGCACATTGAGACACCTCATTATTTCTTTGTCCATAAATAATAAATGAAGTTTAGCCATTATTTTAATTTTTTTCTTATGTTAGGCAATTAAATTTGATTTGGTTAAATTTAATCTTATTGAAGACTGTAAATGGTAACTTTCTACATGTGCAGAACTAACTAGCTATCTAAATTGTGTAGAATTTTCTTGAGAGTAAAATGGTTTCCTCTCAGGTCTCCGTTCTCTTTTCTCTATTTATAGAGAGTGAGAAGCGATTTTGTAACATCCCCAATTTGAACCGAAATGACTAAGGGAAAATGACCATGAAATTGCTGAGAGGATCGATCCAAGGGTCGGTTATGGATTGGCTGGTATGGTCGGAACGGGTACTGAAAGGATCGGTCGAAGGATCGCCCATGGATCGATCAAGGGATCGATAATGGAATGACTTCCCAATCACGCAAGTCAATTGTGACATAATTCATTTTGTTCTACACATCACCCACTTTATTATTCGGAAATGGCGACGTGCTTGCCAACATCACATCGAATCTCAAATTGTTGCAATTTTTTTTTTTTAAGAATGAAATTTTATTGAATCCGAAAGTACTTAAACACCACAGCCAACAACCGAGACATCAAAACAAAGTAAATTCCAAACCGTTGTAGTTTTTTTTTTTGGTCAGGCCAAACTGTCGTAGTTTATTAGCTCATTTCTAGACATTTGGTAACGGGGATGTCATTCTCATGGGAATACTGATCAAAGAGGATTTTGTAAGCTCAAAACCCTTGTATATCAACCTTTTGTCAATAATAAATAAATAAAAGAGTAAAAACTAGGGCAAAAGCCATAAAAAAAAACCTTATCTCAAACTTGTATTTATGTAATACATTTACCCTGTCAAAGTTTTGTCAATGCGGACCATTAAAAATTTACCTACATTGACGCTGACATGGCATTTGAAGTGATTTAAGTGAAATAAAAACGACAGTTATTTTGACCGAAAAATCAATTGACGGAACCTTGATGGAGGGCGAATAATGTGTTACATGGATACAAATTTGGATTAAGAGAAAAAAGTTCAAGATAAATGTTACAAAGTGAGCATGATTTGGAAAATGTGTAACAGTGAATATAATTTGGGGGTTTTTGTCGCTTTCTCCCTAAAACAAATCCCGTGCGCAAGTGCCAGTTTTTTTCGATTGACAAATCAGAAAATGAAAGGGCCAAAAAATAAATCAAGAAGATAAAAGGATTTGCTTTTTTTTTTTTTTTCCTTTTCTTTTTCTTTTCTCGAATTTACTCCAAAGAGGCCATTCGAGGAACACGTCGGGTCGCTCTCCCCTGGCGTGTCCTCTTTCCATTTTCAGGCCCGCCTCTCTCGATTTCGGTCGGCCAAATTCAATCGAACGAAAATCGACACCACCATCCCCCCCGAAAAATTAGGGTTCATCAGTCGCCGTCGATGATGCCCGCTCAATGGAACAGTTTCCGCCCTTGAGCAGCTGCTCCTCCTCCTCCTCCGGCGTTCGTTTCCGGCTCGGGCCCCGTCGTCGCCGGCGCTAGGTTTTTTCCCCCGGCGTTCTTCCCCCGTGTGATTTTTTCCGGTCGTTTTGTGTTTCCGTCGCTCCCGGCCGGTTCGTCTATGGCGAGCGCGAATCCGGCGCACTTGCGGGCGCGCGGCGGGCCGGTGAGGGTCGAGGAGGCGGAGGAGGACGACGAGGAGGAGCTCGAGGACGGGGGCACCGACGACGGCGCCGATGAGGTGGAGGTGGAGGCCGGTGGAGTTTATGCGGATTCCGTGGGGGGGGACTATGACCGCCGTCGGCGTCGTCGCCGCGGTAGTATCGCGAGTGGCGGCGGGACGAGGGGTGGTGTCGTGGCGCCTTCGAGGACGAGCGAGCTCACGCTCTCTTTCGAAGGGGAAGTGTACGTGTTCCCGGCTGTTACGCACGAAAAGGTACGTGCTTTGTTGGGAAGTGAGTAGTTTCGAGTGAGCTGAGGGTGTATGGTTTGAGCTAGCTTTTTGGCTCGTATTGTGCTTGAACTTGTTTGCTCTCGTTGAATGTGAGCTGCTGGTCATCTACAGTTTGGTATTATGCTTATTCGGTTGAGTTTTGAGGCCAATGAGCTTGCAGCTCTTTAGTACTTCTGGTCAAGTAATGGGTCAATGCTGAAGTTGGTTGAAATTCTAGGCGTTCTGCTTTTCTTTTTTTTTTTTTGAAAATGGGAAAAATTATGTTTTTTGGCCTCGATAATTCTCGATTTACACGAAGCAGTTAAAGGTTATACTTACATCTGATATGCAGGTAGAGTAAAGGTATTTGGGTTTTCCTTTTTTGAGGGGCGTACATGTTTGTTAATCTGGAAGGACGATACATGTGCGGTGTTATGAAATAAGATTGTTTTGGGTCCCCTGTTTAGCAGTGCTTGTACCATTTCAAGGTTCTAAGTTTTATGCTTAGGAAAGAGATGAGAAAGCATGCATCTGTAGTGAGTATGCGTTATATGGTATTGTATGCCACTAGCTCCTTTTGATAGGCATTGATGTGGAACGTCAAAAGCGACTAGAGAACTCGTGTTTTTATCTGTTTCCAGCATTTCGACATTGGTAATTGTGATTCGGATGAGTTACAACTCTTGGCAAAAGATACAGTTTGGATTTTGCCATGATATTTTCTGAATGTTGGTTGAAAGGCTTTGCCTTTGTATTTTGTCAGCTTATTTTTCTCCAACAATCTGTAACTATTACTCTTGTCACTGCATTTAGAGACCAATTCCACGCGTGTTACCCGTCATGCGATGGATATTGATGGATTTTCTGCAATTTGTTTGCCAGGTGCAGGCAGTGCTTTTGCTTCTAGGAGGACCCGATGTACCAACCGCTGTGCCTACATTTGAAGTCCCTTATGCTCAAAGTACTATGGTATGCAGATGGTTGTTTTTCCGAGAACTTACAGTTTCTTATGTGTAAATTTTTAATGAGTTATCACCATGTATTAGGATGTGGTTGACACGTCAAAGCGGTCTAATCTTTCCAGAAGAATAGCCTCTTTGGTTAGGTTTCGGGAGAAGCGCAAGGAGAGATGTTTTGACAAGAAGATTAGGTATACTGTGCGAAAAGAGGTTGCCCAGAGGTTAGATCAATATTTCACCTTGTTGGCAGTTATTTCATCTTTGTCAGAGATGCTAAGTCGGTGATTTTCTTTGAAAAGTATTGTTGAACCAAATCATGGAGCATAGGAGTGATTCCAGAATGTTAGCCATCATCAATTCTATTGCATAACGCAAAATATAACAGAGTTAAAAATTGATAGCACATTAATGTGGCTCTTCTTACACTCATCATTAATGGGCTTTGCTCCACTGAAAACTTGGTGTTGATTTGATTCATTCTCCTCTCGTCATCATGCAAACAGGATGCATCGGAAAAATGGGCAGTTTGCTTCAATAAAAGAAGGTTCAGGTGCCAGTAGTTTGGATTTAGCCCAAAGTTGTCATCAGGATGGTACTCCCCCTCCAGAAACTGTGTGAGTCCCTCATTTGCTTTGGCATTGTCAATGTGAGCATTGGAAAATATATGTCTGAGATTCTTTTTTGTCTGGCACATCCACCCATCTCTCTCTCTCTCTCTCTCTCAGGTTGAGACTTGACACTCATTTTATGTAATTGTTTCTTTGGTTGATGTTTCAGTGCCCGGAGATGTCAACATTGTGGTGTTAGTGAAAATGCAACTCCTGCTATGCGTCGTGGGCCAGCTGGACCAAGGACTTTATGTAATGCCTGTGGTTTAATGTGGGCGAATAAGGTTCTTGACATCGGAATTTAGGTTTCAAAGATATGCTTGCACCTGCATTTCTTGTGATATTTCCTTAGAATTTGTACTGGGTAGCCTTTCTTGTTAATTGAAATATGATACCATTGTGCTTTCCCATTCTACCTTTACGTAGGTTCCATCAATTTTTGAGAGACGTGCTTTAAATATGGAGCTGCTAGGAAAGAGGGCTACTGTTGGATGGATTAATATTAGTTTTTGCTTTTGATGTGGTGGTCTTCAATGTGCCAAATAGAATGAATTTGCTCACCAATAATGAAAGTGACATAGGCGCACATATCTTCATTTACTGTTGCAGATAGTGTAGGAGCATAAATTCCTGATAAAAAGATAAATTGTAAATTTCCTTAATGAGTTAATTACGTGATAGGTTCATCAACATTTTCTATATTCACATTGTAGAACAATGTCATTGGTCAAGCGGGCACTTGCTATCTAAGTCTAAGTTTTGGTTCAAGTAAGATGACATATTATAAGTGATAAGAAGTGTTTTATGTAAAACTATTTAATAGTCTACCCTGTCATTTTCCTTTTCGATGATAATTTTTGTCATAGTGTTCTACAGTATACTAGTTTTGTAGCAAACTTGTTGAGTGTGGATATGGTTTTTGAAGCAATATATAATGTTTATTTTCATTGAGCTCACTGATTTTATCAGAATATTTATCAAATTTTCTTCTATGAACCTACAGGGAACATTGAGGGATCTCAGTAAGGGAGGAAGAAATCTTTCTCTAGACCAAAGTGAACTGGTATGTTCCATTAGATTTCACTTTGCCTGGTTATGATGCATCAGTTTGTTACCTCTTTGCCAAACATTGTTAAATATGATTTTGTATGCATACTCAATTCGCTGCACCCTACTTACAATAGTTTAATTCTATGGAAGATAGATGAAAACGTCACTTGTACCTATCCACAGGGAACCCCAGATGTCAAGCCTTTGATTATTGATGGTCAACATTTCTCTAGCAATAAGGATGATCTTGTGAGTTTCTTTCAAACTACTCAAAGTCAATTAGTAGCTTCTGAGGTTTTTTTACTCTTTCAATAATAGTCCATGCAGGTAATTTCTGGAGAGACTTCTACAGCTGACATTAAGAGATTATCTGATCCTTCAATCAACCCCAGTGGTGAAGTAGACGATCAAATGGTGCTCACTTTTTTCCATTTTAATTAGTCACATACCACGCTGACATTGTTAATCTGCTGAACTAGAGGAGTCAAATGACCAGTTCTTTGGTGATTTGAATGATGGAAACCAATTGATTTTACATGTCCATTACTTGGTCGAGTGTTTCTTTTACAAATGATTTTTCTGATCATAAGGATGTGTTTTCTCTGTTAGTTGTTTCCCATTTCAGTTGCTGCTATGTGTGGTCATATTGATTGGTTGAGAGTCCTTAAAAGCTCTCTTATTCAATGAGAATTAGATCCAAGAGCATTATCTTAATGTAGGGTTGATGGGGAGAGTTAAGAAAGCAAATGAGAAGAGGCTCTTTTACAGTCTTTCAGTGCTGCGTTTGATTGCCAGTACAGGGTTAAGGATAGGATAGGATAAGATGAAATGAGAAATGTGGGGGGTATATTGTTTAGTGAAATGTTGGATATCTCAGCAGATATTGTATTAAAAATAACAATAAAAAATTCAAAAAGTTGGTCAAAAAAGGGGTTGGGGGTCTCGGGAGTCTGGGAAGCTGACCATCGCGAGCCACCATAGTCGTGGCCAGCCCAGCAACAACCGTCTGTTGCAGTGGTCAGGGACCACCACGACAGTCAAACAGAGACATGAGCTCGGGAGTCAGATCTGGATTTGGTTCTTGGCTGCGAGGGTGACCACCGAACAGTGGTCTAAAGAGCCGGCGTGATGGTTGACCACCCACGAATGTAGAAACAGAGACAGGGAGAGAGAGACCGGACGGTGGGGGGTTGAGACGCTCAAATCTCGGATACAATGATGGTCACCTGAGTTGTGTGACCACCTTGACAGGGTCACCCGAGGGGTGTGACCAACGTGCAGTGATCACCAACAATGCCAACAATGGTGGTGCGGTTGGCGTCGTCTACGGCAGAAGGAAATCTGTGCAACTGTTTTTTTTTTTCAGTGTTTTATTCTTATGTGGGTGGAATAGAATCATCCCACCCCTAGCCCCCAGATAAGTTATCTGGGATTTTATCCGGACTTATCCAGGGTCTCCAAATGCCGGATAGGATAAATTTTTTTATCCTATCCGGTGTTTCTATTGCAAATCCATGTGCTGTTAAGAGTTAGGTTGAAGAATCATGGATGGAACAAGCAGTAATGTTTTTTAATCTGAAGTAATGGCCCTTCTACATTTTGTTGGGTACTTGTTATTGAAAAAGGGAAGCGGAGTTAGAAAGAGAAATTTGGAGTTATAAAATGCTGGTGGGGCTGAGAGGCTCAAATCTCAGGTGATTACTGCAATGATGGTCGTTTGAGTTGCGCGACCACTGTGACGGGGTTGCTTAGGGGGATTTGATAAACATGCACTAATAACTAAGTGTATTGGTCAGTTGACTCAAAAATTTGATTTCTCGATCACGTTGCCCTCACATGAACGCCTATTCATTAAACAGGCACCGCAGGATTTCCTCAGCCTACCAATTTTGTTTATTTTATTGCATCATTGAATTGTATTTTAATTATGAAATCAAACTGGTCAATATTTTCTTATTCAAGGTTGATTGTGTACTGTGTAAGCCATATATAAATACTTTGATATGTTTCAGAGGATGTGTCGAACAAATTAGAATAAGACCTAGCTTGCATGTTAATGGCTGTCATCTCTGGTGCACTAACATAAAGTAATCCCTATTGACATGGCTTTTCTGCAGATAACCACTGCTGATTATTAACCTTGCATTATATAGGAGTTTGGGTTAGAGATGTTTGTTAGGTTACTACATATTACCTTGATTTCTCTGACTAGAGTGATGTGCTGCAATCAACAATTGGACACAAATGATAAATTCTCTACCTTTTGGGAACAATTTATGTCCCCTTTGAAAAAGTCGGATGCTACACTACATGGCGTTAGAACTTTTTAGCCATTCTTGATGAAACGAAACTCCTTTATCTATCTCATTTGTAATGTAATAACTATGCCTCTGCCTGTTTCATTTGTGATGGATCAATTTGAGGCTTGGACTGCATTTTCGGACTCATAATCAGAGTTTGATGATAAGTTTAGCAAGGCACTTGGTTTTTATCCATATAGTGATGTGAAAAAGATACTATAGATAAAAACCTGACATGCAATTGGATGGGAAATGGTGACTTCAACTTTGACAGAAGAAATTTGTTATCTTCTAGTTTTAATGATCATACACCTGATGTTGAGATACAGATTTTAAATTCAATGGCATGGGCTTGATGATAATCCTTTTAATTTGGATTGCTGACTTTGTCTGCTCACGTGTACTGTATCTGCTCTGATATGCTCCAAAGAGAGTTATAAGTTAAAAGGATTTCTTTGTAATTTAAATCCTTTTGATCTAATAAAAGGGTGTTACCTTCCGTGGTAGCACTAACAGATTTTTCTATTCTCAATTCTCTCGTCTGTCTCTTTCTCTCTCTCCATACCACCACAGTGCTTTTTCTGTGCAGGACTTTCGTGAAACTGCTGCCGATCTAACAAGCACGTTGCCCATGGGAATCATGCATTCTTCAGCTGATGATGATGAGCAGGTACTTAACCGTGATAATATTTGAGATGTCCATCTGTTCTTTACTGTCCTTTAATTATAAACGTTTCTATAATCCCAGAAGCTCCTCTCTCTCTCTTATATATAATATAAAAGGGGAATAGATATGAATAAGGAAGTCCTACTATGCACATCTCTTGGAGCCTTTATTTTCAAGAGCTCCTCACGCAAACCGCAAGTACCATCCAATTCCATCATTATTTGTGCAGACATTGCATATAATCATACAGCTAAAATTGTGGATTTGGCTTTCCTTTGCTTTAATAGAGAAACATATATAGCCAATGGGAAGCCTTGTCTTTGTTAGTTATGTATATTTAGTATTCTCTCACAGTATACATTCCAAACCTTGTACAGCCTGTACTGGTGGATAGCTGAAAAAAGTTGAATATTTTTTTCCTGAACTTGAGTTAATTAGGACTGATAGGGAGACTTACTGGTACTGGTACATTTCTTCTTTTTAAATTTGCATCTATTCAGGCTCCTAATTCACGAATCAAGACACTTTGATCTGTAAAGCTCATAGCTACCAGTCTCTGGGAGTCTGCGTGTTCCTTTCAATCTACATTCCTAAGCAGAAATTTGGTTTGACTCACTGACACAGGACTTATCATGGTCTTCATTTGAAAGGTTAGACAAAGAACCTCTGAGTACTCATCTTCAGAGGGCCCCACCAAAACCTTCAGCATATCCGAGAAAAAGTTACCACTTAGCTGTCATCAGTGGATTCTGAGAAAGTTTTATTTCACACTTGCACTTTCTGCACCCTATAGCTTCATTTCATTGAGCTCATGATTCAGATCATTGATAGCCTCCAATAACATTTTTCTCCAACTTACTGCCTTCCACATGCTCCATTGATAACAAAGAGAAATGTATGATAAACTTGGTTGCAGAGATCTGTTTACCTTTCTATTTTCTTTCTCGATCAACAGATATTGGTTGGAAAAAGCTTCTAGTGGATTCACTCCTTTTTCTGAAACTAGGGAATAATGTTTTAAAAGCTGGAGGTAGCATGTATTATGTGATGACCTGTATGGTTTAAATAATTAGGTTAGTCCTCCTCACTGATGTCCTAGACAGCATTGCTTTCTCCGTGCACGTCCTGTAGGACATGCATGATAGGGTATCAACGAGTATTGTGTTTCCAAGGGAAAGTTAGCTTTGGAGAGATCAAGTATATTATTGAGCATCATTTAAGGTATATTCCCAGTGGCAATATGATGCTCTGGTGAAAACATCGGACTCCATGTAAGGGCAGATATTAAAACAGGAAACGGTGAAAAGTTATCAATAGAAATTCTTCCGAAAAACCTTCAAGATATGGATGTCAAGGAAGGTGGGAATGACGGTACAAGACTGAAAGAAAATATGTTACCAACTTTTGTTGGACATAAATGTAGTTCATGCCGTGTTGCTCCCATGAGGTTACATAGTGACATGTTTTGCACTTTGTGTATTGTTTCTTTTCTTTTTGGATCTATTAACGCCATTTAATTGTTAAGAAGAATCAAGACAAGCTCCTAGTTGTAGAACCTTGTTGCAAGGTCTCTGTTTGATTTTTGACTTCCCGTTATCTTGTTCTCTGTTTCATTTGGAAAATGCGAGGAACTGAAACATCTAGATGCAAGATGAGAAAAGGCCAAGACATTTTGGCATTTTGTAAAGACAAGTTTGTTGAACTTTTTAGCGGTTTTTCCAGTACAAATTATAATCAATCGAAGCACTTCAGTCTTCAGTTCTATGACTGCAGTCAATAGCTGTCAATTGTTTCGCAAAGTCCTAGTCTTTCGCCTTTGGTTGCAGCAAATTGACAGTGATTGTTTTTCTTATTTTGTAAGGTGTTTGAATTGCAGGGAACTCTGGTTGAGCTTGCTAATCCATCAGATACAGACATCGATATTCCTGCTAACTTTGATTAGAAGGTAATGTAGCTACCATGAGACTGTCAAAGAAATTGGTAATAACAGAGCTTATTAGCTTGCTCTGGATTAATTTTCCTCGTGGTTCCAGGTTATAAGTTACCTTCTCTTTGGAAAAGATTGGTGAATCCTAGAGGCTGTGCTTGTGACCACCATGCAATCAAATCTTGTGAGCTGAGGGTGATACTTTTATTAACTCTAGCCGTGATTAATTTTAAACCTATTGTATGTATGAAAACTAGATAGTGTGAATGCATCCTACCAGCCTATTCCCTGTAATTTGCCTTTCAGGGCTGTAGTTAAGGCATATGTTAGCGTTTGTGATTAACATAGCTTGACATAGACATGTGCTGCATGGGTTGCTCTCTTGAGACATCCCCCAATGTAAATTTAAAGAAGCAGCACTTCAGTAATCAATAGCAAGGCTCATTCATCTTAAGATCATTTTGTTGTTGCTTCTGATTCAGCCATATGGATAAGTGCTGGAGATGTCTCTCTTATTTTCAACTTCTGGCTTAGTTCTTTTGCTGCAATTTTGCCAACCATACAAATATCATTGCCCTTCATTCATGCAAAAGCAGTTCTACTGGGGGAGCTAATAGTTACTGTGAGAAACGATCGATGACCAGGGCTAATTTCAGGTGCCTTTTAGTCGGGAAGAATCATGTACACGTTAATTAGGTAGTTAGTCTCAATCACGTGTTGAGTTGCCAGCTTGAACCTTGTTTGAATAACTATATTGGGGTTATGGTTCAAAATGAATTTGATATAGCCAGATTCACTTGATGAAAAAGGGCATTTTTCACATCCAACGATGTTAGATAGAGCATCAAAGAACACTGAGAACACTGAAGGCTTCAGTAAAATACATTGTACCAGGTCACGAGGTAGGTTTATCATTTTGTCGAAAAATGTACCTCCTTATGGAAATATTACATGGTTTCGCCTTACACTCATGCGATTTGGTTCATAGTATCACGTACGATATTATTTGTGTTAGGTTACCCCTCAAAATCTTGTAATTAACCCAGTTGATCTTGGTTTGTCATCTTGCCAAGAAAATATTTGGGCAGAAAAGAACCAAAAAAAATATTGGGAATGCTCTGTTTACTTTAGGGATGCTCTGTTCAAAGTGGCCCCTGGAGATATTTTGTCACGTCGATTTGCTCTCATACTCTTACTAATAAGATAAATACGACCAATACTATACGCTCTTATACTCTTACTAAGATGCATACCACCAATACTATACTAAAGGTCATCGGTACTAGACATGTACTGGTAATGAAAGGGATTGATAAACTTTGACGGACCGACTAATGGCGATCGTGGATCTACCACCGCTGATCTCAGGGCCATTGGAAGTAAATTGGGTCCTAAGCCCACTGAGATAGATAAGCGCAAGTCCTTTGGCCGAATGAAGAATCACATGAATGTCACCATCGATAGTCGGGGAGCCATTCAACGTTGGCAAGGCTTTTTCCTAATAATCTTACATAAAGCTTGTTGGACAATGGCCTTCTATGCAAGTTGGAAAGAAACGACGCAGCTCTTCAGGGTATAGAATTCGAAGACGAAAAGGTTTGAACTTATGATAGTTAGACTAGTATGGTCTTAAAGCTCAAGGAATTAAGTGGTGTATTACTTTTGAGCATGTTCATAATTGAACATTGATTCGGCAAAGCAAATACAAAGGGGAGGAACAAGACAAGGTTCTACTTTAGACTTCGCCTTATGAAGTTTCGAAGTTTAATGTGGATGGATCTTCTTTTGGTACTCCAGGACCATGAGCTGGCTGATACTAATGAACCTGAAGTCTTAAGTTAAATCCCTAATTGTCTCGATGTTTCCTAAACTTTTTTTGATTATCTGCATACTCAGGACGCATTGCTCATCTATTCTAGTTCCTATGGATGGTTGGCTTTCCATCTTAGCTTTTGAGTGTAACTTGGTCGTTGCTTTGCTTAATCTCATATGAAAATGATGGCAAATGTAGATTTCCTTTAAACTTAGTGATGTCAATTCAATGTTCGGGGTTGTAACTTTAATTTAAGCTCTACAGATTGGCTTTAGTTTCTAAAGTCGTATTGCAATGTTTCGTCGATAAAAATATTTCTCGAAAAGAAAAAATAGGCGTAGATCCAAGAAGAATGAACAATCACCGAGTACTAATCGACGAAGTTTGATGATTGAATGGTTTAGATCAAGACCAACACTGGTGATCTCACAGGACGAGCAGCGGCTACAGGATCAATTGACGATAGTTCTGGACCAAATACTGTTCAGTGGTGATCAAAGACTAACTATCAATGACCGGGGAACGACCACCAACAATCGAAAACTAATTCGTTGTAACCAAGGCTAGATCAATGCTTAGGTTCGCAAGAAAGAGAGTCCAATCGAGGCTGATTATGACAAACATTCAGCACTCAAAATCAAACAAAGGCAACTTCCGATCGACCCGACAACCTGAGACTGAACAACCAGGACTTGCAGATCGACCCGACAACCTGAGACTGAACAACCAGGACTTGCAGCCGAACGACGCCGACTTGTGTATTGGCAACTAGTCACTGAGGTGCAATTTTGAACTGGAGCTCAAAATTGGGCCATTCGGACATCTCGAATCGATCAGTTCTAGAGGCACAGTGACGAGAAGAGTTCGAAGACCCACTGTCGGCTCTTCCAGTGTTTTTGCTAGCCTAGGGGAAAAAAGTAGCGAGAGGTCAAAATCCTGATACAGACTAAGCAAAAGCGTTGGGGTTTGAAGGAAATTGCAGGGTCGGCAGTACCTCAGAGCATGTCATGGTAGGCCATCTCTTGTCAAGTTAGAGTCAGTCTGTTAAGGCATTAAACCTGTCAAATTCTCGGGCATCCATCCATCAGGAGAGAGAGAGAGAGAGAGAGAGAGAGTGGGACTTCTCATTTATTTCCAATGATGTGAATTCCTTTACATACAAAATTTTACAACTTTGCTCATTAGCGAGCTCGTATACTTTCCTAACAAGAAGCTACAACAATATACAAACAAATAAGTGATCTGTTGTAGGTAATTGAGCAGTATGTGAGAAACTCGCTCAACCTAGACAATTAATTTACCACGGATATAACTAATTCAAAATGTCTCAACCCGCCGCAATTCAAAATTTTTTACTTGCTCTTCTTAATCATGCACAGACAGGTATCTCCCCGCTGATAAGAGCAAGATTCAAGGGCTTCATGTGCTCTTAAATAATGCATTTCTATTCATGGAAATCTTCATAGGGAGAGGATCCGCTGGAAGAGTCGCTCTCAAACGCTGTAGTCTCCCTTGGAGAAGACGGAAGGGATTCTCTTGCTTGTGACGATGAACCTGACAAGACATAGCAATATATGAGTCTCAAGACCAACTTTGAAGCATTCAGATCATGGCAAGCGAGTGGACCAATGCTCTTAAACCAGTTAAATATGCGATAATGTAGTAACTGCAAAAAGTAAAGAGAGAGACAGAGAGAGAGAGAATCCAGGACGAGAGAAAAAAAGAATTCCAGAACCAGCATCCCAAGCAGTATCTTAGGCCTTTCTGAAAGGGATTTTGAACCTTTGGTTGTTTAACAATACCAGCTTGGCACAGAATTTCTAGGAGATGAAACCTCGATCCCACCAGCAGTATCACGTGGCAGAAGTCCAAAAGCTATGAAAGTTAGCGGATACAAACTTCTAGCTCACTGACAATAGGTTGGCCATAATCTCTCTCGCTCTCTCTCTCTCTCTCACACACACACACACACACCCTGGACGTGAATGAGGATATCAATGTGTTTATACAGTTTTACCGGTTTGAAGTGGAGGAGCTAGATTCGCTGACAGTTCCACAAAACCTTTTTCTTTTCTGGTCCTCTTTGACTTCTCAGCTAGAGGCGAATAGAGGGCCAAAGGTATAATCCTGACAAATTGGAGAAAGAAAAACCACAAACCTTTCTGCCCTCTGGTGCGGAACTTCATCGTGTGTCGCCTAATGAGCCTCTTTGCTTTAGTTATGGTGAGCTGCCTAGCAAATGGAGAGAACTCCAAATCACTTTCACTCCATTCACCGTCATTTTCTGCTTCACCCCGCATTGTCCGTAGAACAAACTTCTTTGCCTTGCGACGTTGGGTGTTGAAAAGGCCTCTTATGGAAGTAACAAAACCATCACCTGCTCCGTCACTGGTACGCTTAGGCCAGGATATAGGATACTGTTCATTCTTCTCAGCCGGACCTCCTTCATCATCACTAAAATTTAGATCGCTGTCAGGAATACCAGTCCCATTGTGCTCTCTCTGGCTATGTGCCTTGTCTTTGAATTTTTTACCCTGCACGATATGTGGGGAAAGAAATATAAAGACGAAAATAATGGAAAAGGCTTAGCACCTCAAAAGACGAAAAGGCTTGTTGGGGAAAAGCATGGTCAACCATGTCAAAGTCTAAAAGCTTTAGCATGAGTCCCAACCGAAGGAAAAATATCACAATTTAGTGGTGTAGGTTGCAATTAAAGGCCACTCAATCAGGTTGCAATTAAAGGCCACTCAATTTGGATCTTTGTTTATCATGACTCTTCAATACCTGCATTCCGGTCACGGACTTCAGGACTCCCCAGATAATATGCTTCTTCACTCGCGAGAAGAGTCGTCTCCATGTGCCAGTAAACTCCACACGGTGAAATGTATCCATGAGCAACTTAAGATCATTCACAACAAATCTCGATCCTTCATAAGTTACCAACAGCTCCACCTATGCCAAAGAAAAAGAAGACTTCAGACGAGATGAGGTTGCTGCAGTTCTATTGCAACAACATTATTATGCATGGATAAGAGCAACCTGACTGATCTTGATATTGTGAAACTCCATTAGCTTTCGCGGTCTAGATCTTTTCTCATTGTGTGACTTTCCTAATTTCTTCTCTTCATGAGATGACCGACCAGATTTGGCGGGTCTTGAATCCTTGAGTTTGTTTCGAGAAGATTCATCTTGTTGCTCGGCAAAACCAAGTGGCCCACTCTTTGAGGAAGAAATGGCTGAAGAGTGAAGCTGTAAAACTAGTTCATTGGCAACAGATTCTGCAACATTTTCTTCCCATGATCTGTCAAAGGAGGATGTCCTTCTCAATTCCGGGGTAGTACCACAGACGAGGTTTGCTTTAAAGTTCTGCACCTTAGACGGCTTCAACCAGTTCCAGAGTTATTAAAAAACAAAGAGAGTCAGTAAGTTCTGATTTCAATGCTAGTGCTACATAATGAAAAAAGTCCATCAATATGATAAAGACAACAAAATTGGTCTGCATCACATGGGTAACTGATAGGAAGACTAACAATCATCAAGTGCAAAAAAATACCAGTTACTAGAATTAATATACTAATTACCCAAGCTGTACTTCTGCAAATTTCCCACTAATGCCATGATAAGGTAAATATAGGAAACCAGAAAATAGCAACAATCAAGTACTGATTGGCCAAATAAATCTCGGTAGAAGCAATCATATACTAGTTGCTTGAATAATAATGATTTACAGGTTTCCCATCAATGACACATTAAATAATTGAGGAACTCACTTGCAGTGTATCTGCTGGAGAGGACTGACTATTTGAGGGTACTGTAGGGACAGTAGATTTATAAGTAACTTCAGATTCTCTTGTTGAGGAAACATTTGATGTTGATGCATCCTGAGAGGAGCCTTTCTTCGCCCGTTTGGAGCTGACAGTAGTTGAAACCTTCCAGACTTCCTGCATTGTTGTAAACTATCAATTGCCAGCCTTGAAAAGGTTTACTGAAAACTATCAAAAGGACTACTTCTAAGGAGAATTGTCACAAATGTAGAAGAGAGCAAAGTCTAATCTAACCTGTCGTCTTTGAGAATCCTGCTCCTCTTCAGGGAAAAAATATTCCCACATCATTCTGTACATTGTCTCGGTCAAATGGATCCTGAGGGGGTAAATATCTACCTACAATGTCGGAAAATGGGTTGAACAAGACAACCTGTCATAATGAAATTTCAAGTTTCTATAGTATGTGCAAGTTTCAATTTTCTGAATTTATCCGCAATTCAAGCCCAACGTCTTTACACGATTTAAAAGCATATGCTCCTGCAGCCACTATATTATAACAGGGTTGTGACTATAGAAACAAACTGCATTACCTGGAAAAGTTCAAGAGGAGAATTCCCATCCTTGGGAGCTCCTTGTTTTGCATCGACCCGAAGCATGACCTCTCTGAAGATGGAAAAAGTGAAATATTCAACAATTCTTCAAATATAGTAAGAGAAATTTCACAAGGCACTTGTCTGACCTACCGGGAAAAAAATTTACACAGCACTTAACAATGCAAAAGAATGATATCTGAAAAATATAAAAGCATAGATAAAGCATGGAGATTTGAAAAGCAGTCAAATACTAAGCAAGTAACAATGCCTAGAAGACAAGTAATTAAAATGATAATGCAATACACATAGAAACGCTAATCTGTGCATGATGAAGAAAATATCTGAAGACTCGTCCATACATACAGTCAAAATATTCCTACTAGTATTGTCAAGAGTGGAATATATGACTACAACAGCGACGGCGGTTATTATTATGTGAGAGGTAAAAGACGAGGAATAGATAATTATTTGCCGAAAGATCAAGCACGATAGAATAAGTTAATTCGAAGGAGATTCTCAGAATCGTGAAGTAGGATCACATTCGGAAAGCCAGAAAGACAAACCAAAAACGAAATGCAATAGCAATAAATGTCATCGTTGGACGAATATCACATTTAAGCTTTGCAACTATAGAAATGCAGAGACCAACATATCAACAAGCAATACTAAAAACATAACATGACTAAGCATTGGCAGCAAAAGTACTTACTTTCCCCATTCAGGTGGAGGATTCCACGCAGATAAAAGCATATCGGACTTGGCATCAGGCAGGCAGTTCCTAACAACAACGTACTTAGTCGTAAAACGAGCAACGCCAACGTCCTTGTAGTCCCGGTCAAAATCATAAATCTGCCAGAATATTTATATTGAGGTACATACTCCATTATCATATGAATAACTCAAAGATAGTAAACAGTAGCTTCAGTTTGCCAAAAAGCAAATTTTAGACAGGTAGCAACCTCTAACCTAAAGAAGTGAGTATGAGAACAAGCTCATCTACAACTTTTCAGGTAGTATTCTTTGACTACTAGTTCAACAAATCCAGAGAGAAAAGAAAACAGAACCAACAAAAATGAGTATCATATGGAATATTTCATCTCTAGAACCATGGCCAATTTTAGACATCAACAAGTGCGATAGCTGACCACGAACGAGAACACTTTGATGTGACAAGATGCAATTTCATCATGGGTGAAAGCTAAATCTGACTATAATTATAGGAAACAAAACCCATGCGCTATCCTTTGACGTACTCACCATGTCATTTATCTCAGCCTCGGCAAAAGATTTACCATCTACAAGCATGCTCCAAACCACTTTGTTGATTTGTAAAGATATACGCATAGCATATGATGGACTTTTATTCTTCTCCTTCTCCATTAGTCGTAACTGGGCGGCTTTTTGTAGAGCCGCCCTAAGTGCTAAAGATGCTACCTTCCTTGATTTTTGTGCATTTAAAAGCTCTCTCTGAAGTCTTTGAACCTGCATAAATGAAGCTTGTATGCTTTGTGATGCAATACCCCAAAAGAAAAAAAAAATGCCATAATATCGATAGCAATTCAAAGGCAAAATTAAAAGCACGTGGAATGCATTGTTCATATTGCAAAGACTACCCAAAACTAAAAAAGCCGCAAATAACATCAAAACCATTCATAGAAAGAAAGGAACAGATACAAACAAAAGCCTTTTTATAAAAGACCAATCAAATCCTCGGAAAAAATCAACTAACATAACTGTCAGAAAGCCTTTATCTAATGTCCAGATTATTATTAAGAAGTTAAGGTTAAGAAGACAATTGTTTCAGTCAGAGACAGAAACTTCTGGACAGATGCCACCTAATACTATTAGAAATAATGCAGCAATAATGGGGTCATGTTACTGAATTCAACCTTCCATATCAAAGTTGCATGTCAAATTTTGACTTGCTATGACCGGACTGGCACCTCAGATAGGAATGCAAACATATGAGACAACAGATCAGAAAACTATGCATGTGACCACAAAATAAATTTAAAAAAGTGATTAGCACAAGAGCACTAAAACATAACAATAAATTAATAAATGCACAAAGGTCCAATAAAAAATGTGTGTTGTATGACTAACTATATAGGAATTTGCTCTTACAGCAAACCCTCCCTAGTAGTTCTATACCACAAATCCAATTACCTTTGGCCCAATTGAGATGGTGTCACGAATCAACAGAAGCAACAATATCCTTCCAAGACATTTCTGATGTACCAGATTCTCTTTTAATAAATTTTTTTATTATTCATCCACTCATATGATCACATTCACATCAAGCCCATCTAAGAACCATGAGTGTGCAAAAGCTTTTTCAAATAATTTGAGAAGTGCTGACAACCTAATTAATCCTCGGTATATTTACCAAAAAGCAATTAATCCTATGGTTACCATTAAGTCAGAAAAATAGACAAGGACTTCATTGGATCTTATAAGTTGGATTCTCACCAAAACAGTCTTTCCGCCATTTACCATCCATAAGTCAAATTCTTTCTCTCGATGTAGGTCCCCTGAAGTTTCACAGTTATGAGACAATTTTCTAATGTCATCAATTAGCAACTTCTGGTCCCACTCTCTCTGCTCCAGGTTGATTTTCGCAAGTTCTACTTCTTCCACCCCATCAGGAACCACTTCATCTGCCTCCTCTTCAACATCTTCATCACCATCATCAATTGGGTATGTCAGACTACTTTTCCGAGGCCTGACAAGTAACATAACTCCCGCTCATAATCGACACAAGTAAGCAACCGATATAATAACACAAATATTCTGCATTTCTGTCTATCCCAATATTACATATAAGTCCACAAAAGCCAAAATGTGGATTAAGATGGCCAGGAATATCTTGCTGTTCAACCTTCAGCAAAACTCAACTTAGGCCTCACAAATAACATTCGAGCTCATGCCAGGGACATATTAGCAACAATGGAAATTCATACACCAATTAACAAGAACATGATGATCAGAATTCATATCCTACCTCTGCTAGAAATTTTAAAAAACATTATCAAGCTCAAAAATAGGAACTAATCCTCACTTGGGGAGACGCGCAAACAGAAGATTCGTCAACACATCCAGCATAACCTGAAATTGGCGAGAAGTCATTGTTGCCGTTATATCATGAGAATTAAATGCAAGCTCTTTCAAGGGCTTCATCTGCAGCAGAGAATAAAACAAAGCAAGTGAGATCTTACACTAAAATTCGGTTGACTAGATAAAAGCCTCTGCTAAAGTTTAAACATAAAAAAATCATGTGCCTTCCTGAAAATATACAAACACCAGATAATGTGCATTCCTGGACAAGAAGAGAGCTATATCACCTTCAAATCTGGAGTCCCACCTTTGTGCCTTGTATAGCGGAAATACATATCACATGGCATAAAAACTCTTTCAAGTAGAGCACCAGTTCGCTTCACTTTAGCTGAGTTTTTTAGAATTTTTGGGAGCCACTGAAGTCCGGCCCCAGGATCAACATCAGTAGGTGCAACATGAGCTTGGACTTTCTCCAACATGACAGAGAGCTCCATGCGTTTCCATGTCATTTCAGGTTGAGAATCTGGAACGTTTATCTTTGCAGATCCAAGTGCTTGTTCAATAATTTCATGCCCAAGATGGAGAACAGAATGAAAGGATCGTGCCAAAACACGGCCACTAACAGCAGCAAGCAGAAACCTACCCTGATTAGGTAAGAATCATAGCATCACATCATGAGAACCATTCCAAGGAAAGTTGCTCCTGCTCTATTTTCTAAGATTACTCAACAAGTTCATTGAACTTCATTCACAAATCATTAGACACACCTACACACATAAACACACACGCATGCACGCACACAAACATATTTATGAAAGGAGAAACGGTAAACTGTTTCAGGGATGCCTTCTACAATTAATAGTGTTAGTTACATGCCATACAATTTTCAAGGAGGGTAATATCTGTAACAGACTCTCCTTCACATGTATCTTTGACTCTGCCTTCAAAAGCTCTCCATCAGTTCATACAAGTCTTGATTATTCCCACTGAAAGACACGATTCAAGCGATTTTTTACTCTTTCATGACATTCTCTGATGTGTTGACCAGATCATTAATCATGACAGTCCATGCAAAAAGAAACCCAACAAATGGTACTTCCAATGGAAAGTTCCTTGTGAAGAAAAGGATAAGGCAAGGAAAAAAAGAAGATTCAGCAAAAATATCTACTGACAGGATCAAAATGCCTATTCAAGAGATGTTTCTGATGAGAGAGATTCTATTCAGAACTTACATTGGCTTCTTCCGAATGTAGATTAAACTGCGGCTCAATAACATTCACCATAAAATGCCGCGTGCCCTCCTCCTCAGAATCATTTGTACTTCCATTAATCACTGGCACAAGCACCCCCAACAATCAGTTTTTTTATTGCTCATAGAGGCATTCAAGTATATGAAATAAAGCAAGCATAGTATTTAGACTTAAGATACAGCCCAAAAATAAGAAAAGTATGACTTCAGAAGAACTTCATGTGGGCCAGTAGTGACATTCCATTTAAAATTACAACCCATGTTAAAGGACACTTCAAAGCCAGTAAGAAGTGTCACTTGATTACAAAGCTTCTTATTTTGGCTGTTTTATGTAAGGACTCATTCAAAGCATTTGTTTAGTAAAAGTGACTCTATACATTAGTTGGGTTAATATTTGGATTTTGAGAGTATAAGTACAGCTTTTGGTTAGCTTAGACTATCGGACATGTACTATTATCAAAGGCTAGACATTTTGGTGGAATCCCCAGCCACTTCTGCATTCTCCAACCTCTTACGCTTCTTACCTCAAAAGGAGAAAACAAATAATAATTCTGAAAGTTCTCAGTAAAAGCAAAAATAATGGTTTACTGTCCCTTCTCATGGTTTACCGTCTCTTCAGGAACAGTGCTACATCAATGTCTTCTTCTTCTTCTTCTTCTCTCTCTCTCTCTCTCTCTCTCTCTCATCTGCACACCAAACTTCTTCGGCCCAGAGTCATCTTATCGGCCCATCAGAATTAGTGGGTCCCAACAGGTTTAACATGGGGCCACCAGATTCAGCGAATCAAATTAATATAATGTTGCAAGCACTGGGTCCATTTGAAGTGGCTCGTGTCTAGACGAGTTCTGAACTACTTTGCCACATCTGGTCTAGGGCCAACTCACATCCCAGCAGTATAGGTACCAACCGTACCATTGCCCCAAGGGCCAAGTCCAAGCATCAACCCATGAAGTGACATAAGTGGATTCAGCCCATTATGCTCTAAGAAAGCCTATATTGCGGGTTGGCTCATTCTAATTGAAATGACTATTCTTTACCATTAAATAATCAAGACCCTGAGATATTTCTGCAGAACCTAACAATGATACTTTTTCTAAATTTGCATTATCTAACAGGCATGCAATCCCCATATCTCCAAGTAGTGAGGGCATAATTGTAAATTAGCTTCTACAGTGACCTAAGGGTACTTCTAAAAGTTTCAATGCCCTAACAAAATTCAGGATAGAGGGTAAGTCAGATGAGACCAAATTTTGGGGACTTAGATTAACATTTCATGATGACAACAACTTCAGTTCACACAAAAAAGTCCAGATTTATCATGATGAAAAAAAAAAACCAAACCATTTGATCAGCCCATCTAGATTTAAATTAAATAAAGTTATCAAATGACACTTTCAACGAAAAATAAAACATCAACTCAACAAATTAGTTACTTTCAATCAATCTCATGAGTATACAGACATACCGATGGCAGCAGACGCTGAATTCTCTATCTTGACTGAAGATGATGGAGATGAAAGCAATGCTGAAGTCTCTGCAAGTTGTGTGGAAGGAGAACTCCCACTATGGCCAGAAGAACAAGCCTTTCCCTGATCATTCTGATGCACATCAGCTCCATCATCTGCCTGGTTTTCCCGATGTAACCTCCTTTGCGCATAAAGCCGTGAAGGAGAAGGCTTGGGAGGCTCAAATGCTTTAGATATTCCACCAACCCAAGACCAAACAGCATCTCTGTTCTCAATTGTCCACAATAGCTTCAAGCCATAAACAAACACACGTTGACAATTATCAGCTATTAGCACATTGTATCCATCATCATCACTCTGGTCAGATCGTGCATGCTCATCACTCTCGCTTCCATTTTCAAATTCAGACCTGACATAGGTCATCTCAAGATTTCTCCTGCCACCCTCTTGCCATGCTAATAACCTGGCAGGATCAGCTTTTGGGGCCTGTCTTCGTATGGTAAAATAATCAGATGACAGCAAAAAACCATCATCACGATGCTTCTCGGTGCAATTAATTACACGATTGCCCTTCTCACTAGGAACTCTATCCATGGATATGGATTGCGAATTTTTCCTTGTCCCTTGACCTGCTTTTGCAAAAATGGGACCATTATCAGTGTCTTTATACAAAAATGCCTTGGGCATGTGAAGGTCAAGACCCTGGTAAACAAGATCAAGAGGTTCACGCTTGCATTCAAATGTGTATTTCTGCTTCCCCCGACTATAACACATTTCATACTTCAGCTTTGTCATATTAAATGTTAAACCTTCGGCAGGGTCATCTTCAGCTAAGGGGACATGTTTTAAGCAGGTAGGAGTAGCATCTACTCGCAGCATAAACTCTGTCATCACCTTGTCTAGGGAAAGGTTGCCTGATCTGACAGCTCTCGGAACTCCAAAACGAGGCCATCGAGAAAAACTGCGCAGCTTGTGAGGAGGATTATAATTCATACTCCAGAACTTTAATATCCAAGCCAAGTCATGGGCCCCGAGGTTGAATGTTGGTGAAACGTTGGGAGTACTTTCAGAAGGATGGGGACCACAGATGGTTTCATCAACAGCAACATCAGCTCCCTGAGTAGACTGGTATTGTTTCTCAGATTGTGGAAGAGGTCTAAAAGAGAAATTCCACCTGAGAGAGAGAGAGGTAGATCTGAAGGGGTCAAACACTTTTTCACGAGGCTTTCCTTCATTGGGAAGCGCAAACAAATAATGATTGAGTGGATCGACAGATTCGCACTCCCAGTCCATCGTTACTTCAAGTGCAAAAGCTGGTGTTTCCAGGAAAGCATCAGATAAACCTGTAGGAAGTTTTAAACTGCGGTTCTTCCCTAAACTTTCCAAGCTGCTCAAAAGAATCTTGAAATCCTTAGCAGAAACATAAACTCGACCATCTGATTGCTGGATCTCCATATATCCCGAAACAAATTGAAGTTTGTCAAGCTTTTCATAAGGATCAGTTGTGGCAAGAACAAACCATCTCGTTTCTAAAAAGAATAAGGTGATGTTTCCATGGATGTAATTTCTTACTTCATCCCACCACGGCAAGCTCCGCTCTTTCTTTGGTGGCTGAATTTGTGGTGTAGTATTCCTAAGGCTCAAATTCGCCCGGCGAAGTGCAACAGTGAAAGCATAGCTCACATCAGCGAAAGATGGTTCATATCCCACTCCAAATGAAATTTGTGCTTTTTGAAAATATATAGGCAAATCAAAGTATGTTTTCACTGGAGGAGTTGTGCCACTAACGGATCGAAGCAGGCAGACCTTTCTCCATCTACCAATAAAGACATCTTGGTGTATCTGGGGTTGAAAACATGTTGCCTAATTCCAAAAAGATAAGAAACATGTCAGCTGCCTAGGAAGATATGATATGAGTCGGACAAAGCAAGTGACTGAAGCTAGCAAAGAACAGAGAAACATTCATCAACCCTTGAAAAGAAAGAGAGCTAGAAATTAGTTATAATGCAAAAATTGCACAGAGCGGTTGATGGATATTACTGCTTCCAATCAACGCTACACTTGTTCTGTTAAAAAACTTGTATATATGTGTTCCACCTTAGGGGAACAAAACTTACACCTGAATAGCAATATCATCATAACCACAATGCTATTGTGGATAAACCAAAGTCTCATCTCATATTTCCATAGAATTCACTCGAAAGCAGCTTCTATAGATTGCAGAACATCCATTTTGGCAATGTTCATACATGAAAAAAATGCCTAATGATGAATACTGACAGGTATAATCTTTATTTTCGTTTGAAAGAGTTACTGTCAGTTAGTATCTTCTTAGGAGTGTATCTATTCATAGCCTCGCTCAATCCAGTAAAGGCAATCCTGAAATGCCTCACTTTCTAAACTTACTACTTAAAGTTGCACAAATCAACAGGTTCCAGTAGCCTTGTATTCAAAAACATTACCTAAAACAATAGGAGATATACTTAAAATCAGAAAACCCATATCAATAGGCAACAAAAGGTCCTCCTTTAACTCAAAAAAAAAAAAAGGACCCTCTTAACTAAATAATAGTATCTTTATGACAGATCCTCCCACTCAACCACCAAAAGGCATTTCATATGAACCAGAGTAACAGAGTGGACTTAAAAAGGTAGAGCAGAAAATAAGGAAAATAAACCAAAACATAACAAATTTTACCTGCTGCGCCAGAATTACACGGCCCTCACATTTACCAGAAGTTGCTGAGAACATAGGATGTGTGTAATTCCTTAACTGAACAACCAGAGTACCTGTGTGCAAGAGAATATTTCTTCCATAAAGACGAGAAAATGGAATGTCATTTTCACAGCATACAGGATCAAGTTTCCTGAGTATATCTATCATCCCAGCATCTCCACCATCAATGCTAGTCAAGCTTAAATCTAAATCGGTGGCAGATATTGAAAGAAGTGAAGTCCTGCCAGCACTAGGCCTAAATCCAGCCTGAAACCCTTCACTGCATGCCCCTGAACCTTCGGAAGGTCTTAACTTCTGACAAGCCTGGTAATAAGATTGAAATGACCTTTTGTATATTCCTTCTTCGAGTTCGCGCGAGGAAGATGGATCTTGTCCATCTATTTCAATTCCATCATTATTAAATTTTCTTTCTTGAGCAACATCACTTGTCTCTGCACTTCTACTACATAAGTTGCCTTTCATTGCTTCATCAAGATACTTCATTCTGACAGCTAACTCAAAAGCCTCATTCTTCATAAGCTGATAATGCTCATCAAGCCAGCCCTGAATAGGTTCTTCCTCGATATCAGCAGTCAGTTTACGTATGCCAAACTTTATACACCCCAATTTCGACAAACTAGACTTTTTTGATTTCGAGCTTTCTTTCTTGAATGGCAATATGAGCATGGTTTTAGCAGCAGCTATAAGCTTCAAGGCCCGTAACATATCCTCGATGGAGTCATCAATGGCACGCAACTGTAGCCTATATGGCATACATATATGAAAATGAAGACCTTGCACTATCCAATCCCATTTAGTAACTGAAGATACTTTCACATCAGATGAAGCACTACTGGTACTAGGAATACGTGAAACTTGCATCCGGGTGCTTTTGATTACTCTAGCCCCATTAAAACTTAGAGTAAGTCCTTCAAAGAGTACTCCTATCCGGGCATTTTCAGAAAAGATAGACTGAATTTGAACCAATGCATCAACCCCATCTCCAGCCTCTGCTGATACAGTCAACGTCTCCACGTCTATTGCAAAAATAGACTCCTTCTTGTGTTTGGCACTTCTTCCCAGTTCCTCAGCCATTTCTTTACTCTGATGAACATTTCCCTGAGAAAAGACATCATCATTACTGATACTACCCAGTTGCTGAAGCTTCTGATGATGCATCATAGATTTCAAATTCAGAACAAGTTCGAATAGCGATAGATGTACATCAGGCTCCCACCGCACCGTAATATTGGTTGCACTGAAAAGGGAGCAAACAGAAATCTCTTTGTGACCACCAGACCGTCGTACAAATTTAGCATTTTGCATGTCAAATACAGTCAATCCTGTAGAAGAGTGATGCTCCTTCATGTTTTCTTGATAAATTGATCTGGCTCTTTCGAGCTCCACCTGGGTTGTCTGTTTCTCTTTGTTTACGCACACAGAGAGGTGAAAAATGTCAAGCGTGACAGAATAGTTCAATGTCTTGCATTCTCTGTGGACTGTGGACATTATGGTTGCACTACGTGGAGTACCATCAGCAGAAACACTAACTATGACCCGACCACCCTGTGACCCATAATTCACACGCTTGGGATCTGCAACAGTCATATTTTCCAAGCCTGCCTCACCACAAATGTTTATAGAACATCGCTCAAGATTAAATTGTATGAGTCGAGTCCCTTTTCCTGATTGCTTAGATGCCCGGCCCCCTTGGCTCTGTCCTGATCTCTTTCTAGAAGCAGAAAGACTTTTGAAAAGAGCTTGAAAAGCTAGAGCAGTTGATATGAGGGATTCAACCCGCTTTAAGGTAAAATAAACACCCATACCAGTAACGTCAACTGAAAGAGCCAATTTAGATCTAGTAATGTCTTCTTCCGATGACTCCATGTCCTTTTTGCCCCAGTCTAGACTCACCTTAGCTATGTGCATCAAGGAACCAGAATTTGATTCAACACCAAAAAGGTTTTCTTTCAAACATTCTTGATACTCATCTTCCATATGCAGATTTATCTCACCAAGCTCCATGTGAACAGAAGGGCCTGTTGTAGATATATTATTTGCAAAGATGTGCGAGGATTGTGAGCAACCCTGCAAAAAGAAAATTATGAAGGATACCCAAGAAACTAAAGTGAAACTTATGCTTTGTAGGATCAATAACAAGAAGATAAAGATGAATAGACTAAGTGCATTTTACATAGACACTTGAGCAAGAACGATTAACAGGAAAAACTATATGTAAATTATAACGAAAGATAAAGGCAAACCTGCTGAGCAAGAAACCTAAGAGCTCTATGCAAGTGATTAGAACTACATAAAGAATCATCCTCAAAAAGTAGATTGCAAGTAATAGGAAAAAATTAAAAGACTTTGATAGAGAGAGAGAGAGAGAGAGAGAGAGAGAGAGAGAGTACAAATTACATTTTTAGCGAAAGTCAAAGGAAAAATTTCATCTGTAAGGACTTATATGCATTATCATAAATATGGTAAATGTGCCACAGAGATTTTGAAATCGAGAAGTAAAAGAATCAAAATGGAGAAGAAATTATCTCCGGTGAAAAAACCTTACCCATTTCCTAGAAAGCATAATACTGCAAGGCGAAGCCCAATTAAGAAGTTGATCCAGAGGAAATGTTTTGGATTGATTATGACGGTTCAATGAAAGATTCATCCATCCTACAAGGTCTTCCCATAATCAACATATTCATCTCGCTATGAACAAGAAACACTAAAAAGACTGACTCTGGAATTTTCTAAGTTGAGCAATATCACTTAAGTTTGCACCAGTTTAAAAGCAAAAGTGTCCCCATGTTTAGAAGGTAGTAACCAGCTGACAGTACTTGGTTGATGACCAACAGTTCTTGTTAAATTAGCAACACTTGGGACGTGGCCAACTTTTCAGTAAGAAATTAGCCTGGGAGCTAGAAGTAGAATCCCTTCAATGTCGTAGTCAAGACAAACTCTTACATCCTCAAATCTTGTAGTTTAGACATGCCTTCTGCATATAGTAAGTCTGCCATCCTAAGTTCAGTTAAGTGATTTCTAAAGAATGGAGTGTTAAGGCACAGTGGCGTATCAACTGAAGCAGCACAATTCAGGGGGACAGCAAATTATCTACATAAAATTTCTAGCTACAAACAAGTCCAAGTACCCAAAAGCTCATAGCAAACTCACATGATACAGAGGCAAACCACTGAAGCTGTATAGCACAATAGTTATCTCAGGAGCTGAGAGAGTACAAGTCCACATGATAGCTTTAGAATCTGATGATAGTGACCTCTTAGATGTCACAGTTGGCTCCTGCAGCACCATTTTCTTCTTCTTTGAGGACTGGAGATGCAACCACGGTTTTAATCTACTTATGAATACGTTGCACTGAGTACCTCCCAATTTGACATCAACTTCAGCTCTCACTGGCAATGTTGGCTGAAAATGAATAATTTATTACATGAGATAATAAAATTACAAAGAGAAGAGCGAGCTCATGCAGTCAGGCTTATTAAAGCTAAGAAATGACACATAATAATTGACAAGGGTATCAACACATAAGAATACAGTTGCAGACGTAAATGTGAAGTGTGTCAACAATCTACAAGCCTCTTTCATGCCATGTTGCAGCCCCGTTGATGATTCTAAAGAATTCAATTAGGTGGAGAACTTAAATTGATAGTTTTCATCGTCATACTAAAATTAGAAGGTTTATGAGACAACTCCGCCAGCCTTCTTAGGAGTCACAAAGTAACTCTGATGTGTTATAAGCTTTAGCACAATTACAGAATGGGGAAAAATATTGAAGTAATGAGAACACACAGTTCAACTTGGCGATTATGCACAACTAAAAGAACAGGCCTATGCAATATACAGGTCAAAGTAGACAGTACTTATGATCGTAATTGAAAACAAAAGTTGCTTATTGATTAAAACGTAATACCATGCAAGGTTTAAGAGAGATGGAATCCTTATTTAAATCTAACTTAAAAACACATTTCATACAGCTTTCATAGCTTACACAAATCATTCGTAGTTCCACGCTAGGAAAAAAAGCTAATAAGACCTTATAGGCATCTTTTTACTTCAAGAATGTTGAATAACTAATAAGTGTGGTTAGAAGTAGCAGCTGCAGGATGGTTTTGGAGGTAAAGCGCAAATAGTCAATGGTTATTCATGGTTTTATCAACCCTAGCAGATAAGACATCATTTATTCTCTTCTGTTCCGAAACCTAGTAATGATTTACTACGGATGATTTAGTTCATTTTGGTGCTATTTTTTTTAGTCCATGAGGGATTAGAACAATTGTCAAAGTATCCTGCATCACTTACAAACGAGATTTATGTCGGCATATATGCATGTATCTCACTCTTGCTTTTGTATGGACATTCTAAGGTGAAATAAGAGCAAACTTTCAATTGTTCCTTTCCCGTTTAATAATTCATCTCACATGTGGATTCTTGTTCGTTTCAATCCTCATTCTTCAACTTCATGTGCATTCTTCATATGATTTCGTTCTAGCTTGCATATGAGGGAGTGTTCAAGTATCCCACATAACTTATCCGCAGGATTTATGAGAGCCTTATATACCTTATTAGTTTACACAATCTGGTTTAGACTTCCTCACAACACCAAGGTATTCTTGGTTCTCAACTTTCGGAAACCTAAGGCAAGTGCTATCTGTACCGCTTCTTCGGTGTAACATAGATAAGTAACATTATTTCCAACATGCATTAAAGTTCAAACTTTCACCAACTTCTTCTCCCTTTATCAATGAACCTATCAGACTATATGCATTAGCCAGGATATGATGGACCCGTGACCCTCTACAGCAATTTCAAAAAATCTTCTTTTCTGAATCAAAAAATAGAACATGACTCACCTCTAGAGGAATGTACACCAGAGATATGACATCAACCTTCAGAATCTCCATAAGAGAACTGCCAGCTTCTCTTAGCAGCTGAAATATCACAGATAATTACTGTTTAGAAAGGACGAAATGGAATGGAGAATACGAAACTGAAAAGCAAATAACGGATTCACAAACTAGTACATAAATCTCGCTGAATTCCACTTGAATGTCAAGACGTGTACTCTCCCCCACATCCTCCGTGGATCGAGTTTTCAAGCATCTAAATTGAATGCCCGTGATGTTATTCTCTACACGCAGGTCATGCTCTTGATGACTAAACTTAATATCCACTTTTGGCAAACTGAAGGAAACCTGTCGAAAAGGAATTGTTTTCATTCAATAAAAGATTGCAACCAGTCAAGGAGCTTCAGATTGCAATATGAATGAAACTCTCAAACTTAAAGTAGATGATTTATGTAATCACCTAAAGTTGTTATATCCAGAATTGAAGAGATGATGCAAATGCTGGACCGTCATCAGAGAAAAACTACTGCTGTATTTGAGTTTTAAATTTAAAAGGCTATCATAAACTTTGCTTGGTATGAAGTAGGGGACCATCAGAGGAACCTTTGTGCTTGCTGGGAGGTCACATGTAAACCAAGTTAGAAGGGTGTGTCACTATTACAACTTGTTTCTTAAGAATATAACTGTTGTTCAGAAGCAGTGCTGTAGTCTGTTCAAAAAAATTTCTGCTCTCCGGGAGATGAATAGAAGTAGTATAGTTGGTGACAACATGGATGGCATGATTACTGGGGCATTTGTTTCCCAGGCAAGCACCAAGAAACTGATCGCCCCCACTTATGAAATTTTTTATATTTCTAAACATCAACAAAAAAGTTGGAAAGGATTATTAAATTTAATTAACCTTTGGAATATTTATAAGCACCAGCCACTTTGATTCTCCATCCTAATCTCTTTCATTCTTCGTGGAGTTTCCAATGATGTCCACCATTCATTTCTTATCTTGTCTTTTGTTTAACTAGTCATGATGAACTGCTATGTGGTTTTCTATTGCAGGGTAGACGTAGCAATAGTTAAGTACCAAACATTAAAAAGAAACTTATATTGCCAAAAATGCACACACATATAAAGTCTTTGTCACATGCACGAACCATGCTGCTATGCTGAAATCATCTAAAATCTTCTGTTGCATTTGCCTTTGTCTTCTCTGCCTTTATTTCAATCATTCTTTCTCCACAAGTTGCAGTACTGCAAACAACTTGATCATCTTAAAGTAACCAGTAGCTTGCTGGTACTTCTATATTCTTTAGTCATTTCTTAAAATTGAAAACCACAATTCATTGAATTCTTTGTTTATTCCTTCTTTTAGCCTACACTAAAAAATTTTACAACACCAAAATATGCCAATATACTTTTCGAAAAAATGGTCCTACAAATTAGTATAGTCAATCAAAGCCCCCCCTAAAACCCCATAAGACAATTTATCATGCCAATGAGAGGTTATGCTACTTTCTTGAGCCAAACATGACCCTTAGATAGTAGTGGCAATATAAACTCACAATATTCCACCAAAGAAAGAAACAAAGAAAGTTCATAATGCATGTTTTGTGGAATATCTCATATGATGCAACAATCAGCCTGACACTGAATAGACTGCATTTGTCAACATCATCAAGAATTGAACAATTTAGTAAGTCAACCATTCCAAGAAGCTTGGTTAGTATGGATTCTGAAGACATAAATTGTCAATGTGGTATCGTTCTACAATAGAAATTACCATAATACATCTTTTTCCATTTGGAACTGAATGAAGTTTTTTTATAGTGTGATCCAAGAGACAGTGATGTGAGTGTGTAAAAATAGCTCAATCACTTATGGAGCCCAAAACATCTTTACATTAACATTGCACAAAGCTTTATCCTTGTCAAAAGCATCAACCATATTAGAAGGCAGTCTTGTCTATTTTTAAGACATAACCTTATCGCAATTTGCACCCTTTACAAAAAAGAAACTTTAAAAATGTGCTGCTTAGTTAACGAAGATCAAGTTTGGAGTGGGGCAATAAAATTCCTCATTTTCCTTGTATAATAAGAAGTGTTTAATTGGTCGGACATAAATTCTATTTTTCCCATCAAATCCCTACAGCTCTCTGCCCATCAAAACATAAAACAATTAGGCGAAAAGATGCCACAGCGAAGAGAAAGTCCATGTAATGTAGTACAAGGACAAAACTAGAGAGGCAAGGTTACTACAAGGCACCAGCTTGTAATGCAATAAACTCACTAACCTTCTCAGGAAACATCAAACCGTACTTTGAAAGTGCTGCTTGTTTTCTGGGTGGATTTTTGCCAGCCGCAGAATCAATAGTTCGCTCCATCTCTGTAGAAAATGTATCAGATGACCTTTTGTCCTTCGAAAAAAGTGACTCATTCAGGTTCATATTGACTTCTCCACTATGGATGTCTAGATTGTTGATAATTACACCAACTTCCCTACGTTCAAAAGAGCAAAGCAGAATAATTAAAAAATAGACCAAGACTGTTGTATCCAAAGCTACAAAAAAAGGTCATCCGTATGTTGAGAGAACACCATAATGACAAAGTAATCACACACTGCAATTACATTTGAGAGAAATAAATGGGTGGGGAAAAAATCACCTATCATGACCGAACTCGCAAGAAAGAAGCAACTCCTCACAGCTCAAAGGTGCAGAAGACCTCTCCATACCAGCATGTGCCATCTGGTTGGAAGAGTCACCATCGAGATTACATGACTGGTCACAGCTCAATCGTGATTCACCCAGGTAAACCAGAATAGGTGATATCTGCAGCTTAACCAACAGATTACGTTTGGAGCCACCATCTTTAGATATTTCCACTTTCAAATCTTTTACTTCAACAGTAGCCTTGGGAGTCTGCCATTTACAAACACCCGATTAAGAAAAATATGAAATCAACCATGCAGTGTTCTCCATGCTCATGAAAAAAAGCAAAAGGACCAAAGACTTCTTTAGACTGAACATAGGAAAAGCAAGTTGTGGAAAGCAAGAATTCCATTTATATTATCTCAGCAGCCAAGCGTCAAATAAAAACATGGCAAGACCTGGCAGCCTAGCAAAATATATTTTAACTGATATGCCTGGCTTTAATACAGCTTCAAGTTCGCACCAACTAATAAAAGTACTTTCAGACACACCACGTGCTAATCTAGCAATTGGAATATCAATTTTTACAAGAATCGTAGCGTCTCAGGAAAAAAAACTACAAGAATCCTAGCACCTTAACAATAGGAGGAAGGGTGGGATGGCTGGCAAAGGGGACCATTACACGGTAACAAGAACATGAAGAGAACATGGCTACCTAGAGTATGGAATTTGAGAGATTGAGCGACTAATTCCATTCCCCGGTCCTCTCCCCTTTAAGTGCCTATCTTGGTCCAACCAGTGTCAATACATATCTCTGCTGCGAGTCTATGTGTGTATGCACAAGTGTAAACAGAATGTGGAGTTGTTAAATAATCATGCATAAAGATTACCAAATCATTCACCTTCCTTGTACTTCCTAACCAACCAATTACTGCCAATTGACTATTTTCTTCAACACCTAAACATACTTAGCACTTTGCTAAAAAGTAACACACCCAAAATCTCTCAAGGATAGAATTACCTCAGTGATCCTCTTGAAAAACAAACAAACTCAAAGTGACTAAGTCAAAACACTTCCAAAACAAATCACGAGTACATAAACCAACATTTAAGAATTGCAAGTTACCTTCAATGCCAAATCTGTAATACTAATAGACAAAAACCTTGCAATATTGGCTACAAGCATCCACTTTCCCCTGCCTGAAGTGCGGGGTCTCCGACTTTTGACTTTCTGCTTGCTTTTATTAGGAGGCCTGATCACAACCTCTAAATCAGATATCAGCACTTGTAGCTTGGGATCCCTCGAAAAAAAACCGGCCCCAAGCTTGACAAGAGACTGTCTCAGGCTGACTCTAATTTCTCCAACAGACACAGATTCGATGGGACCCTGCATATTGGCAAGTCAAATTCATCAACCACAGTTTACATTTCCTAGAATCCAGTTAGCAAACGAGTTCTTTCAGTCCTTTGAGCCCAGATCCCCAAAAATCCAAAAAGAGTCCATGTTGTATTACATGATGCATGCATGACTTCCCTGACTAATGTTGTTTTCACCTTGCCTGGGGTATATTGTCTCCACTCCATTAAGGCCGGAAGGCAAGAGCACAATCAGTGACATTTTGTCATAAAGAAACTCTAGATTGGCAGGTGATTAGGAGCATGGAATTTGAATATGAGTAACCGGATTGACCGGAGTAGATGCCTAAGATTTCTAAAAGGTTGAGTTTCTCTATGAAGAAAACTTTAGCAGACCAGTCATAGAAGTGAGAAAAGAACCTTTTTAAACTTCACCACAATGTCTCGTAAACATTTCCACCCACCAACTTTAAAGGCAACAGAAGCTCCCAAAACCCGGCTTAAAGTCCAAGCGACCAATCGAGAAGCAAAGCTGCAAGGAAGAGGAAAACGAAGACATGGATTAAAAAAAAAAACAGCTGAATAAATGGTACAAGGGCAATCCACCGATAACGAAGCCAAAAACAAAGGTACATAATTTCTGCGAAGTAACATTAGCATGAAAACTTGCAAACACTTAAACTCCATCAGATGAAACAGCATTATAAACCCCATGCAACAGCAAGGGCAACCTTATATCCCCAACATGGTCAACTTTCTCTGCGCAAGCACAACTCTATGTTTTTTCTGTTTGTTACATGAAGTGGCAAATTGAAAGTAAGCTTGGCCAATGCTAAACCATGGACGGACGAATTCCGCGAAGCAAGACACAGCAACCATCGGAAGAACCAATAAAACATGTCCTCCGCCGGAACTATACCCTGCATGGGACGAATTCGATCGAACGACCACGCAATTTTTCCCCGACCAGTCACTTTGATCGTCGCCAAACGGTTCCCATTGCTCGCTCGGCTCCGCTCCTTCCACCACTCGCCAACAGTCACTCAAAAACCAAAGTCACCGCACGCCGCTCGCATTTCTCTCCAAACGGCCGCAAAATCCCTTCTTTTCTCCCGATCCACCACGAAGGCTTAAACGCGATCGACACGTCGTGTCTCAAACCGATCGGCAGGCAGAATTTCAAGAGAGCAAAAGAGAAAAAGAAAAAAACAAAAAACAAAAGCGGAATTCCCACGGGGGGGAGGGGGACATACATGAAGAGCAACCACAGCACAATGGAGACCAGCAGGAACCCGAAGAGGAACTTGGCCGGCGAAGCGGACGCCATTTCCCGCGCGGGGCAGGGGCGGGGGCGGTGGCGGGCGGTCGCCGGCGCCCGATCAGGACGGCCGCGGGCGGCGGCGAGGAGGAGGCGGCGGCGAGGGGAGGGAGGGGGAGGAGGGGGATGGGTGGGGAGGGGAGATCATAGCAGTGGTCGTCGTCGTCGTGGTGCTTCCACTTCGAAGGGCCCTGAAGATCGGAAGGGAATTGATGGTTCGAGCTTTTATGGCAGGATTCGAAGGATCGGATCCGCGATGCTCTCTCGGTCGTCACACAGAGAGAGAGAGAGAGAGACGGACAGGGAGGCGGTGTTTCCGATCGGGTGCGCGAGGGCGCAGGGGAAGGAACGGTGCGCTCGACGTGCGCTCGGAGGAGAAGACGCCGTCTTTCGAGAATTCTCGTGCGTTTGGTCGTCTTTTTTTTTTTTTTTTTGGGACAAGTGCGCCCGGAGCCTTGAAACTCGTCCCGTAGACGTAATTATGTCCTAAAATTTTTCGTGAAAGTGTAACTGAGTCTTTAAGCTTTCAAAAAATACAATCGAATCTAGAAACTTGTCGAATTGATCTAATCATGTTTATATGTTGATTGAACTATTTGAAATTTTTAGGACTTGATTGCTTTGGTAATAAATTTTAGGACTTGATTGCATTTTATAACGAATTTTAGGACTTAATTGTACTTTTGAAAGTATAATAGTTTTAAGATTTAATTATACTTTCATGATAAATTTTAAAACTTGCAACGCACTTATCCTTTTCTTAACTATGTTAAAAAATTTAACATCCGAAATATCGACTAAAATCATTTTTGTAATGAAATATTCGAATCATCAAATAACAGAAGGAAATCATGGATGAAAAAGTACACAACATGAAGACCATTTTAGAGTGATAGCTACCGCTTGGTAGGTTAATTTTACATGTTGCAATGTATTAATTTAGTTGTCTGAAAAGTTGTGACTCATTTTCTCGATATTCGGGAGCATTTTCAAGGAATAGGATCTGAGAATCAAATCAATATATGTATTTTTTTTGGGAGATTTAACGAGAGATATAACCAAAAAAAAAATTCCAATAAACCATCAAATTTTAAACTAGTAACAAGGGTAACTTAGTGGGCTATTGCCCCCGACGGTTTTATATATAATTTTGATGATAGAATAATTTGGGTCTTCAAAATTATCATACATCAAAATTATGATTTTGTAACTTTGCAAGTGATCATTTAAGATACATGGCACTTAGATCGGATCAAATTAACTTCTACTATGATTTAGCTAGCCGGATAATCTTAATTGACATTTCTTGAATAATAACTTATATCCGGGTGGTTGTCAAGGAAATCATACCCAAAATTTAGTTCGCGATTCATGTCACTTTACCCTAAACTCCTCTTAACAAATATAGAGCTTTTGAATCCGCTCAAGAGAGAGCAAATCATCAATGTCAGAGATCAAGGAATCAAACGGGCATCGAGCTCGAGCTCCTAGCCGGTCCAGATAAAAAACAAGGTGATTCTTGAAACTTTGGAAACTTTGCAGATGCAACTTTTTCCTCGTCATATCGACCCGAAACGGATCGAATTTTCAAATATTCACTTTATTTTCTCAAGAAACCTATTGTGTTCACTTTATTTATCCATGCAGCATGTGTTGGTTTAGATTACAAAAAAGAAAAATTCCCGGTAGTTTTGGACGCTGACTTGTCTGTGACCCAAGTAAGTTACCCAACGACTATAATATTTTGCCTCGTCGAAGCTGTTTCCTTCTAAGTTCTGTAATTTGCCTCCTCGTCGTATGTGGTTTTTCTTGTTTACTGGCTGCTGGGTTTGTTTGCAGGTATGGCCTTCGGTGCCGGTTTTGCAATTGCTCTTAGATTCGTCAATGGTGAGATAGGTCCTCCCAAAGTCATTGTGTATGAGGCAGCTAAAGATCGTCGTAACCTTCAATTGAAGAGTTAGCAACATGCACCGTCTCTCGTGACTCCGATGTTTGTATATATGTATACATATTGCACATCTGTTCTTTGGAATCAACAGTGTGCTTTGCTGCTGTTGCATTGTTGCGGGAACATGTTTGAGTGCCGCAAAAAAGAGAAATTTCAAACCTCGTGTAACAGCAATACGCGGCTGTTTAGACGCATTGCTTCCTTGTTTTCCATTCGAACCCTTGCGGCGCTATGAAATGCTTGCATGTAGATTCTCTCAAACTGGTTATTCTAATTGTAATTGGCTTTTGCACGACAGACACGAATCGGACAGTTCTTGTATGTGGGATATCTTGCTAACATCGCCGTGGTTTAAGAAAGAAGTAAAGCAAAAGTAAATATCAAGTTAGTTTAGACGATGGCTTGTGACCTAACCAAACAACCTCATCAAGCACAACGCACTTCCCTTGCCTCTTCTTCTCCCTGCCCAGCTTCGTTTCTCTCAATCTGTCTGCAACAACAAACTCAGAAAACGCCTCGCTTGAAGTCCATGTAATTAAAAAAGGAAAGAAGTCCACGTTAAACGGGGTGCGATCTCGATTCTCTCTACTCTATCCCCACGCTTCGATTTCTTCGCTCGGCACGAGCACCTTTTCTGATGGTGGTCTCGGCTCACGGGTAAAGTCGGCAGTGCGATATTGAACTCAACGAAAAGCTGAAGGTTGGGCTGCTCGGAATTGGTATCCTACATGAAAGATGTAACATAGACGCAAGAAATTTCTCCCTCTTAAGACCACTGTCTAGATACAAAATGTTTTCCAAGGTTTGTGCTTTAGAGCCTTTTGCTCCGTGTATCATTGACTATGGGTTCAACCATGTCTCTTGCATTTTAATTTTGTAATCTGCAGTAAGCCTTCATAGTTACTCCGAGCTCGAAAGGTCATACAATGCAGTATGAATCTTATTTGACCGCAAGCACATAATCGATAGTCAAAAGGCCAAGAAAATACAATCAACATCCCTTATCCATTTAATCACCAATATTACAACTCTCAGAAGTCATTGAGATTTACACACATGGACGGAAGGAATTGAGACAGTAAAGAGGCGAAACACCTCGTCTCCAGCCAGTATAAAGTTTCTGGAATCCAAACACGCAATTGGTACTCGAAAATCACTGAGTGAGCAGCTTCGAGTCACATGCTACGATCTTAACCCGACCGACAGTTTCCGGGCAGTCCTCGTTCTTAAAAGTAGCGTCCTGTAGAATGAACGTCCACACGTTGTCGCAGAACCGGTACGTATGCAGATGTCCCTGAACCAAAACAAGAGAGAAGTTCAAAAAGATGTCAGTTTTCCTCTCATAGTGATCACAGCTTAAACCTTTTCACCTTATAACTAAATAGACAGTTTGAATGCATAAGTTCAAAACACACATATAACAAGATACATATCTCCTTAGTAGAAGACTAGAAGCTATTTGCTATCCTCAACAATCTCACAGCAGGAGTGTTATATTCATTTCGGAGGCAATATTTAGTGCATTAGGGCAAGCATTGATGTCCTTGGCTGCAGTCGTCCATAAGTCACCAACCAAGATCTTAAAAAATTCTGTTTAGATGAATCCATTTGTGCTATAATGATAACCAAAACGAGCCAAACCCAAAAGGGACAAATACTTTCACTGAACCAGTAGAGTTCGTACATTCAAAATAACACTTAACTCGCAAAGTACATGCATGCATAAGCCTCCTAGATGCCGAAACGTATGAGTGACGGATCTAATTTTCAATAAATTTACCGAAAAATGACTGGGCGTCGATTGTTAACGCTTATTCAATAAGATTTGGTATGTGATATTAGCATATCGGTTTGTTATAGAATCTTCAAATGAAATAAACAGGTATCTTTACAATCAGCGAATCCATGAATAAATAGCACAACCTATGCCTCTGCACACGCGCCCACGCGCGCGAGGAGAAAATACCGCGACGGTGATACTATCATTATTATACCATGTAAGCAACTAATTGAGGACATACCATCCAGCTATTGAAAAAAAAACAATGATGATAATAATGACATCACAAGCCATGCACTACTGCTCCAGCAAAGTATCATCTACCAGGGCTATGGAGCAAATTTGAAAAAAACCCGACATGAGAATCAATCAGCTAACAATCAGTCCGAATTACACGAGGACAGTGTCGTGAGGAACCTACTTCCACCAGTCGCCCTTTTCAGACAGACAATCGAGGCAATACAGCGAATAGCACCGCCAGCGACCGAATACGACAGAGGCATGACAAAAAAAGGAGACTTTTTTTTTTACCTTGATAGTCACCTTGCTCTTGACCTGGGTCTCCAGCGCCTCCGTCATGGACTTAAAGAAACGCGCACGGTCATCATCATCAGCTCAACACGAACGAACAGACAATCGCGAAAACAAAGACGGAAAAAAAAAAGAAAAAAGAAAGAAGAAGGTCGGGTCCAGATCCAGACCTTATCGAACTGGACGAGGACTTGGATGGCCAGCTCGGGGCTGAGGGTGCCGTTCGACACCATCTCGTCCAGCGTCTCCGTCAGGCACATCCCGATCGTCGACCTCCGGTACAGCTCGAACGTCGCCATTTCCCCCTCTCGATCCAATCACCGATCTACCCCCGAAAGAAAACGGAAAAAGAAGAACACCACCACCCCCGCAAACAAATCGATTCGATCCGAGTCGAGTCAATCTCCGAGAAGAAATCGAGCCAATTCGACGCGGGGAAGAGGAAGAGAGCAACGAACCGTACCGAGTGCTTCAGCTGGAGAGCTCCGCTGCTGCTGCTCGGCGTCGATTGGGGGGGGGCGTCCTCGAGAAAGAGAGAGAGTAGGGGGAGAGAATTGGGGCTTTTTATACCTAGATTCAAAGCGGAGCGGCATATATAGCAGGTGACGGACGGAGGACGTAGGACGGCCGGACCGAGGGGGCGAATTGACCGGAATGCCCTCCGCGGGCCCAGAGCGGGCGGTTTTTCATGGGCTTGCGGGCGGGATCGCAAAGCCCATTCGATAGATGGATCCGGGTCGATTGGCCCACGGACACCCGGCGAGGCACGTGGCGTCAACGGCCGCCACGTACGCGAACGGTGCGCTGACGTGGAAGACCCTAAGGAAACGAGATCTTGCATTGCTGCATCCGTAGAAGAAGAAGAAGCATCAATAAGCCTCGCCGATGGACGACATCGTCAGCTCGTCGCCGCCGCCTCCTCCTCCTCTGAGCACCGCCACCACCGGCAGCCACGCTCCCTCCATCAGAAGCGGGAGGGACCATCGAGGGACCTCGTCGCGCGCAAAGGAGGGGCTTGTCCTTCGCCGTGTTGGTGCAGGAACGTCTTCGCTACGTCAAAGCTTCTCCTGCTCGGCCAGGTAATGGATCAGCAGCTCCGGACCGAAATCACGAACCCGAAAGGTTACGGGCGAGCGGGACGGACCGATTTTGACTGCGAAGTAACATGCGAATTGCCCGTCGCGTTTTCTGTGCGGCAGGCGAAGAAGATGAGGGCGAGGAACGAGAGGGAGGCGACGGAGGCCGATCTGCGGACGGCGAAGATGCAGGCCGACGCCACCAGCGACGCCGAGAAGCGAATTCACGACAAATCCGCTTGATTTTCTCCATCAATAATTAGGAGAGTTTATGCTAATAACAATGTGTTCTCTTTGGTGGCAAAGAAGGCTAATGGAGAAATTCTATGTTTCGACTAAAGTGATGAAAATTTGTACAAGCGACCCTGTTATGCGATACGCACAATGCCACAATGTCGTCAAGCACGTAGGAATTTCTGGAGCGGGTCTAGGATTCGGCGTCCTTCCTTGTCATTCGGAGATGGGGAGGGCCTTCGAAACGGATGTAGTCGTACATGATTCCCTGGAGAGGACCCATGCTCATGGTTTGGGAGAGGAACACGGTGTTGTCCCCGGCGACGAGCTGGCCTCCGGGCACGTCGACGGCATAGGAGCGGTAGAGCCCGTGAATCCCGTGCCTGGCGATCGTGTTGTCGTGCCCGATCACGCCGGTCGAGAACAGGGGAGGATCCGCTTGCGGGTCATTGACTCGAACCTAGGAACATTGGAAAAAAAGAAACGAGGCGCGGATTCAATGACACTCAAAGTACGAGAGATTGAAAATCTAAGTAGTTCGACATAGGTTGGTACTTCTAGTTGTGCTACATTGGCCGTGGCCAACGCCAAACGCAGCTTGTAGGTCTCGGACGGACGAACATCGTCGAGTTTGAACTTTATTTGCCATGTCGTTCCTTGGTACGTGGTATCATCAATCTTCCTGTAATTCAAATTCGATCGAAGTGAAATGTTGCCGTACACCAACACCGAAGGTTAAGACAAGGTGTCAAAAGAGATGCGTACCTGGGAACTTGTGCGAAGAACCAATCTTTTCTATAATCACTAGCATCGACCGTATAGATCAAGTCGCTATCGGGATATAGTTCAGTGTATCTCTCCCACAATCCATATTGCCTAAACCTGTACGCGAAGTGAGATATTAGCTTCCTCCATGTTAATCGACATGATCAGCCGAACGATCGAATGTCGAATCGGATATGACCTCGATCTTTTATCAACACTACATTGTCTTTCTTCCCCTCGAAGCGATCGTGAGGGCCGCGCTCGCCGGTTCGGGGGATGGAATTTCATCCGATGCACTCGAACGAGACGGTTTGCATGGTTTTATAATGAAAAATTGTACAATCGAAACTTTGAGAGCTTACTTGTCAGGATGATTGAGATAGAGCTTGTTGATGTACTTCGGATCTGGGTCGGGCACGTAGAATTCTGCCGCGGAACGATCCGGGATTCCAATCTCCCACAAGGTCGGCCCATCTCTAGGAGGCTCGTACACAAGTTCCCCCACATCAACTTGGCAACCTAATAATGTCACATTCCAAAAGGGGGATTTACGTATATGGATCTTGGTTCATGCAATAATATTCATCTCCACGTAAGTTTGAGAAATTAATCGTACTTTAGCACAAAAAATTAGCCCGTCACCTGATGTTATAGTGATCGCTCTGTCATTCCGATAATCTCCGACATAACAGGGTGCCCATGCATAGATGCAATAGTCGCCGGTCCGCACGTTATTGATTGAGAAGTAACCATCCGAGTCGGCTTTCGTCCAAAATTGATAACCCTGAGAATCGATTTGATAATAATGTGTGAGATGGTATTTTCTAACTCCAAAAATATTTATCAATATTCTTTTTATTATTATTTTTTTTTCTTGTTCTCTATTTCATTCACCTTGACTTCTGTTTGCCACGATCCGACATCGCCCGGAGGTGCTAGTCCCACGTATGCCCCGTTCGCAGGGATTAAGGAATCATTGATGTACCTATGGAATAGTTCGCAATTCATCAAAAAGATAGATGTATACACGCAACTTAATGAACATCTAGAGCAAATTTATAATACATGGTATTGTATATAGTTGTTCTGCACATAAGATTGTCCTAAGTAAACTAAAAACCAGCACTAAAAATTATGACGCTGTCGATACAGTATGTTTATATCGTTTCAGAACATGTCATGTGATAGTTAGGCTCCGTTTGCTTCGCAGAAAATGAATGGTTTGGAAAACATTTTCCTAAAGATGATCGGCTGTATCGCTTGAAATAATTAGTTAATGAAAAATGATTTCGTTATCAATAATAATTGATGTCTAAACATTTTCATGAGCAATGAAAATAATATTCGTTGATTCGTTTTTGTAAGTGATATAAATAATTATTTTTAGGAAAATATTTTCCAAACTATTCAACGAATGGAGCTTAAAAGTTAAGAGATAAGTAAATTGGAAGTCCTAAATCTTGTTATAAAAGTGCAATTGAATCCTAAAACTTTAATAAAATGCAATTAAGTCCTAAAACTTGTCACGAAGGTGTAATTGAGTCCTAAAACTTGTCAAATTGGTCAAATCAAGTCTTTTCGTTGATTGCACTTTGTGAAAAGTTTAGAACTCAATTGCACTTTCGTGACAAGTTTTATGATTTGATTGAACTTTTTTGAAAATTTAAAAACTCAATTGTACTAAGTTTTGAGAATTTCAGTATTTAATTAGCAAGAAAATCAGGAACTAATTACCTGTCTCGAATCATAAGCCTCCCACTGACATAGCCCCGCTGGTCTAAAGTCTGGTATTCCTCCGAGGCTGGGAAGGCATAAGGCCAGCTCTGGACTTCGCTCAACATCTACAATACAACAGTCCACGGGTTTCTCAGGCGATCGCCCGTCGATTGTAATAACGAGCTCTAACACAGTTCACTCGATTAGTCAATCGATCATCACCTGTTCCTTAGCGTCGACCCAGAGCTTGAGTGGATCGTCGGTTTCCGGCACGCAGTTAAGGTAGAAAAACACGGGTCCGAAGACTTTCTTCCATGGCTCGCCCGGTGCGAGCTTCATCACCAGGTCCTCTCCGGCGTAGTGAGCGCTCAGAAACATCTGAGACATTACACACTCTTGCGTGTGAAGACTGAGTATGAGCTTAGGAGAGTGCAATGATCCACAGAACAATGAGAATTGGCAATTCGCGACCGGAAGTTGTCCACGAGAATTAGAGAGAGAAGGAGAGAGGGAGATCATCGTACGGCGAGGGTAATGGGGCCGACATGGGAGGTAAGGTTCTGTTTGAGAAGTCCGCCGGAGCGAAACTCGTTGCTCGGCGTTATTTGCCAGAATCCCACCGGAGGGTCGAAGCATATCCACCCGTGAACCTGGAGATCTTTGTTCTCGCATGAGTACTGGTACTTGTCATCCACCTGCAACCCGAATCTCAACCTGAGAAACATCCTCTAATTGGATTTGATCATGCTACAACTAAACTAAGTAGCGAAGTTAACTACAGTGTGGAGCTCTAACTGGTGAATTAGACACCAAATAAACCAACACAATAGGCGATATTTCCATAACACAAAATCTCCAAGTACCAACTCTCATTAATTTAAACTTTTGAGATGAGATGCACTTGTCGGTTATATTAGAAAAGTCGCGCATCAAAGAGTTGGTGCACTGTTGAGTGATAATATATTTTAATTTGCCCATAACTTATTGATCTAAACTTTCGAGTGAAGGTAAATTGAATATCTTAATTTGCCCATTTCGATAAAAAAAAATAAAAAAATTTGCCCATAACTTAGGACTTCCAATGTGTATCAATGTTTGGTGAATATCTCAATGAAGTAATTACTATATTCTTTTTTATCCATAACTTATTGGCTTGCAGCTTTCTAGGGCAATTATAGCACGTGAAATTACCAACTCGAGCTGCTTCAACTGTCATATGGGATTTGGTAAGCTCTTGCATACCTACAGCACCACCAGACCAGACAGCTGCAACACCTCGTTACAGCTTTGAGAAAGAGAGAGAGAGAGAGTACCTCGCCTTTGAACTCCGGTTCGACAGGATTGACGAGAAGAACGGCTTCAGGAGTGGCCAAGGGCTGCCCTCTGCCGGGCACTCGATCGTCAGGAAGGGGCATGTATCTCTGCCTGTCATCTCCCACCACCATGTACTTAAACCTATCCGCGTAATTACCACCACAACAACCAATCAAATTAATCAACACTGAGAAGAAAAATAGAGAAAAAAATGATGATCTCATCAACCAAGATGAATGTCATGCAGAAGTAGTTGGCATAACCACAACGTGTGTACTAACTTATCCTTCCTGAGCTTGAAGACGATCCTGGTCTGGGGAAGGTTGAAAGCAGGCCACTCCCCTGAGTGCTCGTAGATTCCATAGGAGTAGAATCCTGAGCAGTTCCGAAGCATGACGTACCTGAAAAAATATTTGAAGGAAATTGAATTTTTCCCTCAATTATCGGTGTTTATTTTTTTCATGTTTTATGACTTGAAACTTAGATAAAAATCGCGCCTTTTGTCAATATTGAGGGGAACCATCTTGCCCTCTTTCGAGGAATCCCACGCCCTCGTGAACGATATCTCCACCTGCTCGTCGTTCTCCACTATCACGTTGAACTTCGTCGCCTCCATCCTGCACCACCAATGCTAAGAAGCATTAGATGGAGGATAACATATAGGAAACATGAAAATTGGATGCATCACTTTTGTCAATCGTTAAAGAAAGATGCATGACCAATCTAACACTCCCTAATAATGAGATCGAGATATGGGGTTGAAATTATTTCTGAATGGGGTTAAAATTTGATCATCTGATGCGACCGAAGGAAAAGTATTTTTATACTACTTCTCCTTCTCTTTTGATGACGAGAAAGCCCATTTTAAATGGGTAAGTTCTGAACTCATGAAATTCCCGACTATCCTTGTAATCAAATAAGACGTGAGCTGAAATTTGGATGGGGTTACGAAGGCAAAAACATGAAAATGGTTTGAAAATCGAGTTTATATTGTGTGCCTAAGTTACACGCAAATCCGTTCTTTTAACCGCTCATCTAACTCCATGTTAGAGAATCGAAATGATTGTCTCTCCATCTTAACAAGCATGCTCAAAATTAGTTTTATTCTCGAATTTATAAATAAATTTGATCACGAAAGCTGATGTATACTACGGTAATGAGTCATAATTATCCAATAATAAACTAAAATATTCGTTTTTCCTATATAGATCCCATCTTCATAACTTACTTTTGTGTTATCAATTTTGATTTTTTTGTTAAGAAACAATGGAAAGGATGAAGCAGGCTCACCTATCATCAGTGCCCGTCGTGCCAGTACTTCCTGCTTCACTCCACACGAGGTCCCAGTACCTGCAAACCATAGGTACTCAAAACCCCCGTTTCGATCGGATTTGCTAAGTTAGAAAATGAGATAAAAGCATTGGAAATCTTACAATTTATTATGAAAATACAATTGAATCCATATTTTTTTAAAGTTTTAGAATTCGATTGCACTTTCGTAATAAGATTTAGGACTTCTAATGTACTTATCTTTTTGAAAATCAGAGATTATTTCAGAACCGGATTGATTCAGCTAATTATCGACGTACCCTCTATTGAATTCCTCGTTACGAACTTCGAGCAAATTGCTGATGCCATTGTATTTGATCCCGGTGACGAATCCATCTGGTTTCGCTATCGTCACTTTGACCATGCCATTGTCCATTACCACCTGCGCCACGTCCGTGCATGTCCGCACGACATCAATAAGATATAATAAACTCCCATGATGCATGTCTCAAACCCTAGCGTCCGAGAAATCTTGTTTTTATGTATGTGAATGCCTTGAGAAAATCACCTCCCCTTCCGCCCGAGCAGCTCGTGGAGAGGTAAAATGCAGGCAAACCAAACATGGGAACAAGACGGTTAACTAAGAACTTTGTTAACGCCAATCCCATCTCAGGGGGACGGAGCCACTAGACCCGATCGCGGGATGGCCGGGGCGAGTCTGCCCCCGAACGCTGGCCCCGACCAACAAGATTCGAAGTGCAAACCTAGCAGTCTGAGGTAAATCTCGTTTTTAGGCTCCGTGGATAACCGGCCCGTTGATCGAGTTTAACGGGAACCATACGAACACAGGTATTTTCTTCCGGATAAGATCGCTTCTCCGACATAATCTCAAACTAAAAGTGCTAAGAAAATAACATGGTGTAGATTTCGATGCGACTAGAAAGAGTATATATAACGATCAAGAAACGAAGAGACTCACATGCTTATCCTGAACATTCAATCGCACCCCCGGAGACGACGCAGCATGACCATCACGTCCCATTTCACCACCTTCTTGAGCAATGAAAGCATTCTGGTTCTCCATCTTTGCTCTGAATCATATGGAACGAGTAAATATATATATATAAAAAAATACTATCTCGCACGCTGGTTTCGGCAAAAGATCTGGAGCGACATGATGTGAGAGATACTGCAAGTTCGTGAGGACCTTCACGGGCTCATAAGAATGGCGTCTTTGAGCTTGCTTTCTTGAAGTAAAAAGCAAGCAATGCTTTTTCACAGGCTCGCTTTTATTTACTTCGCTCGGTCGCCACTACTGTTTGGTGGGTTTTTGAAATTGAGGCGTGCAAGGTTGGACATCTCTATAAATGCCAAACCCGGAGAATATCGTGGTTTATATGTCATGATAATATTATTAGATTGCTCATATAGGAGGACTTAATTTCGCACGTCGCGGCTTCGATCGATGTTGTCTTTGTAACGAGTTTTGACGGTTTCCTCTACCTTTATCTCTTTATTTCATTACTGAAATCTCCCGGCTATCGGAACCTTCTTCAGCTTTTAAGTACTTGTCTGACACAATGCCGACATAAGAATGTAGAGTTGACAGGGGGTACTTCGCGAGGGAGGCTCCGGCCCTCCTATCATCACGGCCGCAATTTCGACATTTACAAGAAAATATGGTGTGAATTTTTATGACAGCAAGTCTCGCTGGTGGTGTATCACTTGACTGCTCGTATGTATTGGGCATGATCCTTACCGCTAACTACTCCAAATTAGGTTTTTGAAACAAAAATATCGGATTATAGTGTTAAAACGATGTGGAGGACTCTCGACATAACAAAGGCATATAAATCTATAATTGCTTTGATCTCGAGCTTAATACACATATAGTAATATTAGACTAAACGATAATTTGCAGGTTTCCATGAACGCAATGCTTAAGAAAACTTAGCTGCTAAGAGTTGATTTTCTTGTGATTGGAGGAAAAGATATGGTCTCTCTCCGTCTGAACTTGACATGCCAGAGTGTCGTTGGACTTGGGAGTACTCGGAGAAGCCTAAGCGAGCTCTATAACTCCAATGAATAATGTTGAAGTTAATCAAAGTGTCATGGATATGAAATAACCATGAATCACATGCATTGATTCATTCAGGGCCTAATAGTTTGCTAGTGAATGTGGCCAATATCTTTATAGCTATTGAAATTTCACCCCAGTAACAACGTTCACATGAACTTTCAAGCTTTATTGTACAATCAGTTCGATCCATTTCGAGGGGATCGGGTGTTATATAGCTATGGCTTTGTTTTGTTCGTCATAGACTGAATCTCAAATTGTGATCAAGACAATCCGTTGAATTAGACGCTGTTCATGGAGCAATCTCTCACCGTTAAATATGGATGAATTGTTGCGAGGTCATCGTTGAATGGTTAGGGAAAAAATCATGACCATCTTATTAATGCTATCTAAAAAGAATGACCGCGTTGGCTCCACTACAACAGCTTTGATCTTGTAATGGATCTGAACGTAAAGAAAAAAACTAAAATCTGTCTGTAGAATTGGAAGATGGAGGTCCCTCGAGGCGAATGTAGTCGTACATTATCCCCCGAAAAGGGCTTATGCTTCCTATTTGTGTGAGGAAGACGGTGTTCTCGCCCTTGATCAATTCAGTGCCTGGCACGTCGATGGAGAACAGCCAATAGAGCCCGTGAATCCCGTGTCTTGCAATCGTGTTGTCCCTCCCGATCACACCGCTCGAGAATAGAGGGGAGCTTGCGCTCGCATCATTGACCCTTACCTTTAAGAAGAGAACATGACGAATATAAGTACTACAATGGAGCATCTTTCTTTAAAATGAGGCTCATTGAAATTCAGTAGGGCTAAGCTTAGCGTACCTGCAGCTCGGATACGTGAGCAGTTGCAAGAGCCAATTGCAATTTATAGGTTCCAGTATGATCGATGCTGTAAATTGTGAACTTGATTTGCCAAGTAGTTCCATTATATGTGTTATTGCCAATTTCTCTGTGACAAGGTAATGTTCAGCTGATGAGTTATGTTGGGCACAGAAAGCTTTTACATGACAATGAGATGAACCGCGAGTTTCGAAAAGAAAGTCTTAACAACAATTGTTTTGTCTGTTTCTTTCACTTTGAATTAGGTCCACCTAAAGATTTTGCATTCCAAGGTAAAGCAAGCTGCGCTTCTGTGGCTGCTATTATAAGATGTTCACTGCTTATCGTTCATGCATCTTAAAATTCCCGTGAATGTGAAAATAAAGAATAAAGACTGATTATGAAACCAAAACCTGGTAACTTGAGCAAAGAACCAATCCTTCCTGTAGTCGCTTGTCCCGACTGTGTATATCAAATCTTCATCTGGATATAACTCTGTATATCTTTGCCACAGGCCATACTGTCTAAACCTGGTTGATGGTAAATCAAATGTTAGCTCTCCTAGGCCAAGAAAGGGCAGAGAGAGAGAGAGAGAGAGAGAGAGAGAGAGAGAGATCATATGGCTTTGAACATGACTGACCTATCAGGATGATTAATGTAGAGCGGGTTGATGTATTGTGGGTCGGGATCTGGAACATAATACTCTGAAGCAGTACGGTCAGGGATGCCTATTTCCCACAATGTCGGGCCATTTCTCGGAGGCTCATACACAAGTTCGCCCACATCGATATTAGAAGCTGCTTGTCAACACGTATTAATCCATGTTAATTGTTCAAGAACGGAAGAAACGAACAGTCCATCCAAACAAGAAAGCATATACCTGCAGATATCGTGATGTTTTTCTCATATTTGTAGTCTCCGATGAAACCTGGAACCCAGGCATAGAGATTGTAATGACCGGGAATAATACCGCTGATGGAGAAATTTCCCTCTTCGTCTGCTCTAGTCCAAAATTGATAGCCCTAGTAAGGAGAGATTTGTTATATAGCAAGAAATCTCTGTATTTTCATTCTTCATTAATCATTAAAAAGGACTTGCATTAACAAAAACAGATCCAGGGCTCGCAAAAACTCTAGACAGCTTCACATAGCCCTGGTAGGTGCCTGTATATACAGAAAATTAAATATTACCTTGGTTTCTCTTTGCCACGATCCAACGTCTCCGGGCGGTGCCAAGCCCACATAAGCACCATTTGCCATCAGGCATTCCTTGCTAATATATCTGGATGATCGTTGATTCATTAGTTGATCGAACGCGCATAGAGAAAATGGACACCATTTTCCATTAAGCATTCTGGTTGCATTTGGCATAAAGGTAAGAGAAGTACCCACCTGTCTAGCACGAGTAGTCGACCAATCACATTGCCCCTTTGACTGGGCTGCACATAATCCTCTAGAGCCGGGAATTTGTACGGCCAGCTTTGGGCTTCAACAATTAACTTACAATAAAATCAAGTTAAACTATGCGCACAGAAAGATGGGACAAAGTTTGATAAGTTAAGTGTATCAAAGGCGTTCAAGCAAAACCTGCTCTTTTGCATCCATCCAAAGAGAGCGTGGGTCTTCTCCATTCGACATAGAGTTAACGTAGATGAAAACCGGGCCGTAGACTTTCTTCCACGGCTCATTCGGTCCAAACCTCATTGTCAGGTCGACTCCAGAGTAATGAGCACTGACAAAAACCTTAGGGATCCCGATTTGAAAAAGCAATAAGAGATTGGTAAATGTGTTCATTGTACTTTGTCACCAAGGAAAGAGAATTAAGAAGGTAACTTTGGGGTGATCAATTGAAGCTCCAACTAAAAGCATTAATCTCATCTAAGTGAGATAAACCTAGATTGCTTCTTCTAGTGTCTTAGATTTAAGAGGAGAGTTATTTACATTGAGGGATGTCGGACCGACATGAGATGTTAGAAACTGCTTCACAGGTCCACCACTGCGGAACTCATAGCTCGGTGTAATCTGCCAGACCCCAATAGGAGGATCCTTGCTGATCCAACCGTGGACCTGGATGTCTTTGCTTTCACATGAGTACTCGTACTTATCATCCACCTGCAATGACCAACTATACGCTCTCAAATGGTCTTCATTCCCTGCAATCTTCATTTTCGCTTCCTGAAGATGATCCTTTAATAAGTAAAACGAATGTCAGATCAGAAGAAACTACCTCTCCTTTAAACTCTGGTTCCACTGGATTAATGAGCCGAACCGCCTCAGGATAAGCCAGGACTTGCCCTCTGTCTGGCAATCTATCATCTGGAAGGGGCATATATCTTTGCCTGTTATCTGCTATCGCCATATAATGAAACCTAGGCACATCACGAAACGCATTCAAAAGTTAGTCCAATCTGTTGAACTCCACCATCAGGTCCATATTCTTTATTTCAAATACTTTTGACTTTTTAAAAAATGTTTGGGAAATGAACCTTTTTGAAATAATTTAGAGGCAGCAGAGACATACTTGTCCTTTCTAGGCTTGAGCACGGTCCTTGTGTTACCAATGTTGAAAGCAGGCCATTCTGCCAAGTGTTCATAAACCGCATATGTGTAGAAGCCTGAAGATCCACGAAGCATCACATACCTAAAAGATCGCCATTCATATTATCACCACTAGACGTGTAGATTTCCCATAAACATGACATGCTAACATTAGAAGGCGACGGCATACCTCTTGTCTATATTTAATGGAACTACCTCACCCTCAAGTGACAAGTTCCACATTCTAGTGAACGAGAGCTCAACCTGCTCATCGTTCTCCACTATAACCTCAAACTTTGTGCCATCAAGCCTGCATAAAGTTCAGTTTTACTTGTTACAGAGCGGCGGCTGTAAACATTTATAAATTAATCTTAACATCTTGATTTTGACATACCGTCTTTAGATATGTACTCGAGGGTCACATGAAATTTACTAACAAAAATTACTTTAGCAGGTCTGAGGTTGAAAATAAAAGGTTTTCTTTTTGGTGCATGGACAACTTCAAGAATGATGTTAAAAACTGGCAGTGCCAAAAGAACGAGTCTTTTGTGGTACCATTAAGAAATGCAGAACTCCAATTTGTCCTGATAAGAATTTATCCTCTCAGATAAATGCTTCAATGGATTTTTAAACGCTCTAAGGGCTCAAGCTGTTGAGCTGCTTACTACATTTACATAGCTTTCATAAAATTCAGCTGAGTCTTCATTGCAGGCTACAGAGTGACATTGTGGTGCCATAGTTCATGTCTGATCAAATTAAATTGCACCTGGAACTTCGACAGAAGCGAAGTTTGAGTGCAGAGAGGACGGTGAGATAACATACCTATCGAGTTTACCCTTTGTTTTGTTACTTTGCTTAGCACTCCAAACCACATCCCAGTACCTACATATTCCAGTAAAATAATTCAAGTATCGAACCATTGAACAAAAAACAATAGGATTGAAGCAAGAAGCAGCAATTGAACTAGTTTTTATGAATTTGTGGAACTTTAACTAATAAAAGTTGATCAATAAGAGGGACACTAAGACTCATCAACTAAATTGGTTCATTAGATGATGCGGCACTCTGTTAAATAGTTACTTAAGTTAGTGGTCCATTTAAGCACTCATCAGGAATCTGCCACATACTAAGTAAATATATTGGTTGAACAATATATGTGGCATTATTCTTAATGTAAGACTTGACCAAAAACCAACATATAAGGACTTTCTTCGCAAACTCAAAGTATACCCAGTACATGTATGTTCAATATATTTAACACAAATATGATGGGAATTGATCTTATAACTTTAACGCCAACTGATGATTTGCAAAGGCTAACAATGCTGAGGCAAAAGAAAGAGTGGCCTTTAGATATTCTGGGGTTCTGGCTAGTTGCATATTGCCGCTGATAACATGACAAGATAGACAAAGTATCACTTGGTATGATTATCTGGTCCATTTACTTTGGTCTTATGTGTTTTCTCTCACCCATGACGACAAAAGAAGCATTAACCATGACTGTGCCTACAGGCATCTTCAACTAGACTAGGCCCACAAGTGCACCATACTGGACCCATGCTTCATCAACTAGGTTACCTTTTGAGTTGTTTCTTAAGCCTTACTTCGAACAAATTTCGACAAAAGTGACAGCTGGGGAAAAAAGTACAGGAATCACAATGAAGAAATGCGTAGGTACGTGTTCATTTGAAAAACATGAGGAGATTTGTGTCTTTTTACTATAATTTCTGTGCTATAAGCTCCCAGTTTTACCAGGATTCAACAAGAGAATTATTGGATTTCTTTTCTTCTTTTTGTGGATTTCTCTCACTCAGTACAGTCAAAGTAGCAAATGATCAACTAAACATCCGTCCCATCTAATATGGTGCTAGAGATGTGCTTGTAATAATATACTCAAATTGGTATGGAGCATTCAATGCTGATATACTTAAATTCCCTAAACAAAGAAGACACATGAAAACCACATCCTCAACTTTTGCTGCCGTTATCGAGTGTAAGATGACTTGCTTCGATGGACCATGAATTTATTCTTTTGCTAATTATCGCTAAACAACCCAAGAATTTATCTAGTGCAGAGCATTCCATTAAGAATTAAATGAATGAGGAATGGCAAGTAAATAGAAAAGAACTCAAGACATCAACAGTCATATACCCTCTGTTAAATTCGCTGTTTTGTTCTTCGAGCAAATTGTCGATGCCATTGTACTGTATTCCAGTTACACTTCCCCCTGGATTCGACAAAGTGACTTGGAGGATACCATTATCCATAGCCACCTGCAAAGCACTCGATCAGCGTATTGGAAAAGAAAGATCTTTTGGATGGAAAGCAACTTACTTATGCAACGACATGCTTGTGATTCAATCTATCACGAGATTGCTCTTTCTTTTGCTGAACAAAAGATTGAATATTTCTCTCTCTGTCTCTCTCTGTCTCTCTCTCTCTCTCTCTCTCTCCAGTCTACCCCTTAAGAGGTCCTGAACTTGATGACTATTGCTCCAAAGCAGCTTTTTCCATCTACTAATGCCAACTCTAAAAGAACGACATCATCAAAATCTACTGACATTGGACTAAAACGTCCCTCTCTAATAATATGGTGCATGACTTCCATATTCAACCAGGCAAAACACAAAAAGATTTACAACTTTAAAGTTTAAATATAGTAGAGTGCACCCAAATAAAAACAAAAACAAAATAAAACAGAGATGAAGAATTGAAAGCAAAAAGAGATCTCATACATATTTATCACGAACTTGGACTCGAACCCCCCCGGAGGGTGGCGTGGAGGGTCCAGGTCCAGGTGCATTAGCCTCATCATCTCCATCACTAGCTTCTTCAACATGTCGCAAACTATCAACCTTGGTTCTTCCGACACAGAGACCATGGAACAGGAACGCAGAAAAGAACATCAACAAAAGGGGAGTTCTCGCAAAACCCATCATTCACAAATGCCTGAGGGGAAAGAAGAGAAGTTTTTTTTCAAAGGTAGGCATACCTGCTTGGGGGGGTGGATGGGAATGTAATAAGTGGGTGTTTGTTTTTTGGTAGGAGCATGAACCTCCAAAAGTCGCAAAAAGGATGACTGCTGGAGTTTCCTCAAAACGGAGGATAAGGGATTTACTTCCTTTCTTTGCTTCTCTACTTCCGCTTCTGCTTCCGCTTCCTCTTCCTCATTCTGCTGAATCTCTCTCGTGACGACGAGATCATGTCCATATTGTCTTTCCTGATTTTTTAGTGTCTTTCCTTTGTCGTCACCTTTTGTTTGGTTCCGGTGTGCGGACATGCTCTGAGGTTGTCCCACCCGTGAGAGGAGTCAACATGTGACGTGACGAAAGGTCTATTAATTAAATCGAAGAAGGGGAAAGAAAAACCAAGAAAAGGAAGGGAAAGAGGAATCGCCATGAAGTTGGAATGGTATCACATTCAAGTTGAACGGGGACAGCACGTTGGTTACACCAAAAGTCACCAAATTGAATTCGCGTTTGTCAACTGCCTTGCCCACCACTCCACCAACCCAACATGGGCAACACAAGATGCTGAAAAAGTTTGTTAAGGAACATGCTATATTCCTTCTTGCTTATGAAAATAATATCGATATTCTTAGTTTTGCCATGCATACACCTGTCAAAATGGTTCATTAACTCATTTCTTAACCTATACAAAATAGGGTGAGTTATTATTATTTGGGTTAGTTATATTTAGTAAATGGGTTTAAAAATAATATGGTGTTCAATGGGTCATAAGTGGGTTATAAATGGATTTACAACTTATGGTTTTCTCTTCATTCTTTCTCGCCCTCATTCGATTTCGAACTCACTCACTCCATATTCTCACCTTAATTTGGGTACGAGTTTTCCTAAATTTGGTTAAATATGAAAATGTTTTAGTAATATGGATCGGGTTGGGTATAGATCAGGTATGGATCAAGAAATTTGCGTTACAAATAAATAGGTCAAATGAGTTAATGTGTCATTTTGGGTCGGACCATTTATAACTCGACCCAAACCCGATCCACCTATTTGACAGATCTAGCCATGCATGCATGATTTTGGTTGTGATTTCTAACCTTGTGTGAGGTGGTAGAATTGCCTATTTCATGACAAGTTTGGATGCATAATTTACTTGCCTATTTTGCGACACGAAAAATTGCATAATATCAAAATGTATCCAATAATAGACAAACAAAGATCTAGAGATTAAAAGTTTTCCCATGGAGGAAAGAAAGTTGAGGATGCTGATATTTCTTGCTCTTTATGTATTTATACTACCATGTTCATATATATATATACACACACTCACACTTCCCATCTATTTCACACACGATGAAATTATTGGCCTTCATGATCTTTCATCTTTATGGTGCTTATTTAGGTTGAGTTTCTTCATTTGACCCGCCCCATAAATTACAAAATTCTAAGAATCAATATGTTTTCCCCCACGTTTTTAAAGCATATTTCTATAAATACAAATCACTAATCTGTGCCGGCAAATTTAATGATCAACTAGTAATATAATTTTCATCAGCAAATTATTTAGCCTGTAACGTATTAGTAAGTTACCAACAATTATTTAGCCCGAATGTGTTAGTAAGTTATCACCACTTCTGTTGAAGTACCAACAATTACTTGACTGATTGTCTTAAGTTAATTCAATGCATTGCCAATATTTATTTGCGTAGTCTAAAAATGTATTGAAGTTCCTAACATCTATAGACAATTACCAACTACTACTTTGAATCCATCTAACAACTTTCAATTGATTGTTCTATAATTACTAATTATTCCAAACACTTACCATATGTTTATTTGCAAAAGTTACCATCAAATTAAATGTTTCTATCTTCTATAACCAATATTAATATAAGTGATTTACCAACTATTCATGAATTGACCTGCCATCCAATTTTAACTTTACTTACTCTTATTTGATTGAGTTAGCAACGTCCATATAATTGTTTTAAAGTCACAACATAGTTCAACAATTTACCAAACAAACAGGTCAACATCCAAGTAATGAATGGACATGCATATAGTCTATTATCATTTCTAGATCCTGGTGACATCAAGGCATCCACCAAATAAACAACTACCTAAGTTTTCTTTTTCGTAATCAACATGACCGGTCAAGTCGAAATGCACAAACATCCGATCCGCAGGAAGAAAATCATCGGATCAAGATGTGACGGCGGTGCCTGGAGGAGCCGGAGTGTATGACATTACTAGATAAACGGTGCTATAAACATGGCAAACCCGATGCACGGAGGTTTCTTCTTCGCTGTCTTGCACGTTCAAGCTTGGTGAGCAACGGCCGATTTCCCCACCACAAAATATTCCTGCCACAGGAACTCCAGGAAAGTTCTCCACGAACGGCGAGCTATCGACATTGAAATCATTGAAAAACGATTCTCCACGGCCAAAAGAAGAGAAAATGAAACCTCCGAAAACCCGGGGTTTACCAGCACTGGCAACGATGCTCCCCATTTTATCAGAGCAATCGGAATCACTCCCCAGATTCAGACTTCTCAGGCGTGCTGAGACTTTTTGGCACGAGTCAAGGGCAGCTGCAGGATCAGAATAGTAAAACTGGAAACTATCTCCACTTTCAATGCCAGACCCCTCAACACGAAGGTATTCAACACCCCTGTCAAAAATTCAAGAAATAGTCCTGCATAAGGAGGAGAAAATGTAGTTTCACTTGGGAAAGCGAAAGGTGACTCTTGGGAAGGGTTGTCCAACCAAACAGGCAATAAATTTTTGTGCCGGAATCACATGTCGCATACTTTTAACAGCTGGTCATTCACATTCACATGATTGTTGCATGCCTGAAGCAGGCAAAAAATTGATGCCATGTTAAACTTAAATTCCAACTAAATAAGCAAGAGAATGTTAAGTGAAGTCAACATATATCCTAAGCTTGATGAACTTTGAAAACTTCTGACACTATTTGGGATAAGAACAGCAGCAAGAGTGCCATAACTTTCGTATAGTGCTCACTTGAGTGCCATAACTTTTTTTTCGCTCAAAGTGTTACATCAGAATAAAATAGATCATTTGATTGCCACTTCCGACAAATCGTCCTACGTTGCTTTTTTAATTAATTTTCCATCCGACGTGAATTTATTAAATATTTTATTATTTTTTTAATTTTATTTTTTAATTTTGATTTTTAATTTTTGTTTTTCTTTTCCCTTTTTTTTTCTTTTTTCAGGGCCGGCGAGGGTCACCGATGACCCTCGCTGACTACGAAGCCCTCGCCCACTGGGCGAGGGCCGCCTTGCCCTCCGCCGTGAAGGCCTGAACAAGGCCATCGCGGCCTCGCTAGCAGTGGGCGAGGCCGTTGCCAGATCTGGGCGCTCGCGGGCAAGGCAGCCTCGCCAGATCTGGCTGCGATGCCTTGCCCGCGGCAGCCCAAATCTGGCAACGGCCTTTGTGGCCTCGCCCAATGGGCGAGGGCTGCCTTGCCCGCAGCACTGTGAAAGCCCGGGCAAGGCCATCGCGGCCTCGCCGGCAAGGCAGTCCTCGCCCAGTGGGTGAGGCCGCGAAGGCCGTCGCCAAATCAGGGCGGCCGTGGGCAAGGCGGCCTCGCCAACTGTTGGTGAGGCCGCGATGGCCTTGCCCACTGTTGGCGAGGCCGCGATGGCCTTGCCTGGACCTTCGCTGCAGAGGGCAAGGCGGCCCTCGCCCATCTAGGTGAGGGCTTCGTAGCCGGCGAGGGTTGCCAGTGACCCTCACTGGCATTAAAAAAAAAAGCTAAAAAAAAAGGAAAAGAAAATTTCAAACAAAAGTAATTAAAAAATTCCAAAAAAATAAAAAATATATATATATTAAAAAATTGTCCACGTCACCGCCGGCGAAGCCACGTCAAACGACCGGCATCCACGTCGGATTTTCCGGTGAGGCAAATCGTCAATGGCACTTAAGTGATCGTTTTTTCAAATTCATGACACTCAAGTGAGTGAAAAAAAAAGTTATAGCACTCAAGTGAGCGTCGTACGAAAGTTTTGGCACTCCTAGTATTCTTATCCCAACATTATTTATGCCATTCAATTGAAAGATGAGATATAGTCATAATCCCATAAAAAAATCCTGAAACTTTTTCCTTGTGGAACACCAATACCCCAAACTTTTTTTCGTCTCAGCAAAATCACCAAACTCGTAATAGTGACCCAAAAGTACCTTCTGTTAAACTTCCCTCCATAATAGCCGTTAAAAAAATGATGTGTCGTTATCCCCACATACTGCCACGTCTGATCTTTAATTATCATTATGGATGGAACTGTGATGGAAGGTATTTTTGGGTCACTAGTACAAGTTTGGGGTACTAATGAGACAAACAAAAGTTTAGGATATTGATGTCCTCCACAAAAAACTTCAGGAATATTGGTGAGATTTTCCATGAGATATAATAGGTTAAATATATTTCATCCTACCCACCACCACAATGTTTTATTCTAGCAGCCAAATCCAAAATCTAGGAACTGAAATCACTAGAACATACTCTAACTCAGATTCAATTAATTATAATCATGCAGAAGAATACCAAATTGCAAAATTAATCTTTCTTTGTGATAATGAAGATCTACTAAAGCCAATATCACTAAGTCAATACCGAGGTATAGGCAGTGCAAGAAAAACTCCACAGATCCAGTTTCAAGTGGAAAGTAGAAAAAGTAAAGACAAAAATCAACGTACTATTGCCCTCTGTGTCCAACCTCACATCACAAAACAACCATGGAAATATATAAATCAACAAAGAGACAGAGGTAAAGAACCTTCAGAACTCACCCCATCACACCATGAAATGACAAGAATGACATCAACTTTGCCTTCTCTGCCCCAACTTCATATATCCTTCTTTTAGTTACTCCAATGTACACGTCAGGGTACTCAACACGATTTTCTAGCTGCCACATAGTAAAACAGAGGCAATGATAAGAGTATTATAACTTGGTAATAGTGAGAGCCTTTGTCCATATTATTTAGTAGCTCAAACTTGTGCACATAACATGAGGTGAAACTTCAAAACTAAAAATATGGAGAACAGAAAGATTACGCAACATCAGATCTCCACAGTAACTGCCACACGTGCTATGTCCATCAAGGTCATTGGTTGTTTGATACGGGAGCTCCATTAAGTAAGCCTTTCATATTCCTATTGAAAATCATGACCTGAAACTTCTAAAGCAGCTAATGCTGCACTGTTCTGAAGTAACACTCACCAGATTAGCCTATACAAGTTTCGCTATTTCCATGATATTTCAATTAAACTACAATCTGTGAAACAGATCTTCCTGGCAAGACACGACCACTGGATTTGATCTCAACCATAAAATGAAGAGGGTCGAATGGATTGCCGAAGGCCTTGAATTTAAGATTCGTCTTCTCAGGTGGATGACCACAAAAAATCTCTGACATGCAGCACAAACTTTCGAACAAATCAAGGAGCTACTAATTCGTGACAACTGTGAAGAAAGTTCTACGTTCCTTACAAAGCATTTTGGTCCACTAAGGAAATACAGGAGCTTATCGTAACCATTTATTCCCGAGACAAACAATTTTTCACGGTCACAACCCTCACGTGACTCAGATTCATTAAACTCTTGTGAAATTAAATGCTGAGGTTTAAAGCATGTTGACACCCTTTTGATATGGAGGATCCACGTAAGTGCACCAACTCCCAAGTGACTCTCAGAGAATACTTGGTTAAACATGATTTTCTGTAGAAATTGGACTAACTCATCCCTCATCATGAAAGGAACTCCAGAAAAGGAACTCAGTTCATGGCTCTGTTACCAAGGGTTCAACATTTAAGTGGAGACACAGGATCTAAGGACATGCAAATTCTTAGCATAGTACAGCAGTGAGAAGATTAACAAAGGAAACAGGTAGGATTGGCGAATCATTAATCAAAAACTCAGTAAAAAAGAAGCTCCAAATTTGGGAAGCTCCAAAACTTGGTCAAGTGTTTGGAACTAACATTGACAGTACCGAATCTGCAAGTTACGAAACAATAAACTTTGATCTCATACCTCATCTCTGATGTCATTCAGAATTCCTTCGCCATCAAGAATTTCCTCCTGACCTTCTCTTCTAGCAGTGAGCAAAGTACAGCAATCATCAACTTGGACAGAAGCTGCCCTGTGCCTTGGACCTATAGTTGACAATCCATCCGATAATGCCACATGAAACTTAATATCACCTAACCCTGCTCATGCAACCAATGCATGCAGGAAATCAAACATTAGCTGGAATAAAGCAAAAGGAGATCATGAAAAGGGCGGACTAAATGACAGAAGGTAAGTGCAAGAAACAGCAAACTGAACTAGATTTTTTTTTTTTTTTTTTTTGGTGTTGGGTGGGGGGGGGCGTGGGAGAAGGTGTTTGGGGGTGGAGCATTTAAAATAGGGGCAGACATCTACAACAAGCAAACAAGAAAGGGTACAACGATAGAAGGTCCCCATTTTTATTGACAGAAAAAGACAAAGGTAAAGCAAAAAAGGTTTAAAATATGAGGAGGATTAAAGCAAGACAAGCTGTATAACTTGATTCCAGTGCATGTGCAGGATCCTGTCTGAATGGGTAATACAAAATATAAGAAAGACGTGAAGGACTAAAAGTAATCAGAACACAATAACATAGAACCAGAAGACTACCGCAAGAAACAGCAAGACCAACTGAACATTGAGAGAGAGAGAGAGAGAGAGAGAGAGAGCATTTAAGATTAAGCAGGAATCTTTTTTCTTTCTGCTGGAGATACAATGGAAAACAATCTGGAGAATACAGAAAGGATAAAACAAAAGCATCGGCAATAATCAAGAAAGCTTCAGACGAGCATGTAGAGTTTAGAGTCTTATGAAGTGTAATTCCTTTCCTCCATAAATTCCTGTTTTAAGAGTGAATGGCTATTGATAGAGCATGCTTCTCTTTTTCGACATATATATAGAAATACATCAACAGAAGGAGCGAAACCAAAATCAAATTATCACCAATTGCAGTAGACAATTACTCTTGGATCCATTTGCAATGGAAGAAAAGAATGAAAGAAAGAATTATAAGCACAGACCAAGGCGGCTATGTATTACTGAAACTGAAACAATACACACATAAATAACAACTACCAGGGCGTTTGTGTCTATCTTTGGCAAAAACAAGTGCAACGGCACTAGTGGTATAGTTTTGGAGCACAATTGCAGAGATGTATCTGGATTTGTCCACACTTCTGTACTCAAAATTGCCTTTCTCGTCACCCACTATCGCAGTTTCCAAAGGCATTGCATAATCTGCAATGACGTGCTGGTTCATGAGGCCACAAGAGCCAATGCCAACTGCAGAAATTTGATCACGCTTGTAAGAAGATAAACAAAACAAGCTACAATGATGATAATGCCTCAGTGATGTACTTGTTCTTTTAGACTATATGCCCAACCATATTAACCAAACAAAAGCACATGCACTGAGTATGGTGAATCAAGAGAAGAAACTGCTCTTTCCAACATAGCTTTGTTACTACAAAATAATATTTCCTCTCACTTTGAGCTTCAAAATGGTGGACAGAATCATTTTTTTCACCATAAAAGATTCTGTTAATTATGAGCCAAATTTGCTTGAAGACCAGTCTTAATTTCTAAGCTTTGAAACATCATGATTTTCACAGGAGGAATCAATTTTGAAGTCTGGTCCTTTCCAGTAACAATTTCACAGTTCAAATCTCCCTTGGAGTAAGCTATAGAGGGCATATGCTAATAAGACTCAACTTGAAAAGCATTAAATAAAAGCCCATTATGCAAAATTAAGTGCACTTTTACCAACGGTGCTCTGATAACTTAAAAGGTAAAATTTCCGTCTGTTCAGGTCCTTGTCCTGGCATTTTTAGGTCTTGATCGAGGTCCTCATCCACTTGCTTTGCTTATAAATATGACTTCTCCATGAGTGGTGTTCAGCCACATAAGTAAGCTACAACCCTCTCTCTCTCTCTCTCTCTCTCTCTCTCTCTCATCTGATTGCTGTCCAGTTTTCTGGTCTACTTCTTTTGATTTCATATTTTAGTCCACTAATGAGCACTCTCGGGTTTTGGTATAACTTGGTTAGTATCATGAGATTTCGAGTTGCAATTTTATATTGCTAAGATTCAAACTAACTATATCAAATTTGTCCTGCACTAAATATTAGTGCTGTCGGAACCCAGGAGCCTGAGAATACTTCTGTAAGATGTTAATAGCACATTGAAAGGGGTCATTTATGCTGTGAATAGAAGTGTATCCATACATAAGCATAAACTATTCTCTTATGGCATATTTTCATGCATTAGAACATCTGACTTTTTTTCATGAAATATTATTGTTCAATTTCATCAACCCCGAGTGATTCAGGAGATGGTTTTATTTTTTTGACAACCTAGCAGCTAACTCCTGTGACGAGCATTGGGCAAAAAATGGATCAGATAAAAAGCCTTTTTTTATTAAGCTGTAATTTACCCCTTACCCTATTATCTCTCACCCCATAATATAGATTCCATCTTCCTACTGATGGAAGAAAATCAAGGATAAAAAGGACTCTTTCCACTTCCATCTAATTATCTAAGAGAATGAGAAGAATTAACCAACCTAGTTTCTCAGCGGCAGATTTGATCTCAGCAGTTCCATCCTACAAGATCAATGTAACATGTCAACTAAGGCATCCAAGAGAAACGAATTTTCACTTATGTGAAAGGGAAAAGAGTGTAAAACAGGTGACTGGGGGACATACTCCAAACATAATAACTCCAACTGGTGTTGAGCACCCCGACACAGCAACTGAGTATTCCATTATATCCGTTACGAACTTGTCAACCAATAACCGGTCCTGGTATCAGCAAGAAATTTCTACCTTAAACCTTGTCTACAACGTTTTGCATACCAAGCTTTGAACTAAAGAAAATCTGAAGTTCCATTCATGACAAGTGGCATAAGTTAGAACAGATCTCACCATTTCATCCAGTGGCACCTGCAATAGATACTAATCGAGCACAATGATATAAAAGGATTCATCTAGCCGACCCATTTAGTGGGGTAAGGCTTAATTTGGGTTGTTGCATCATCAATTGGTCATGGCCCAAAGACTTGAGGTCAATGTTCAACGACAATGCTATATATAGAGAAAATTTGTACGTAAATATAAGTCCAGGATTTCTTTACATCATTTACTTCCGCTAGATGCAGCAGCGGGACAACATCAACTTTCAATCCTGGTACAAAACCCACGGTCAGGACAATACCCTGTTCAGCATTGTCGGAATCTTCATTGTTGTAGGAACCAATATCAATACCTCCTTCAACCTGCAATATTTTGGTACCACAAAAGGACCCGAAAAGAAAAACAAAAAAAGCAATATTATCAACCTCTTCAGAAAGATTCCTCATCCATCAATATTTGTGCTTGTCTTATTTTACGCCTTTCTAAGAATCTCTCTTACAGGAAATAAAACATAAGGCAGAATCTAACCTCTTTGACTTGATTGGTAAGAACATCTACTCCAATAATTCCACTGTCAGCGGATATTACTATAGGTGTTCCAGCTCCCAATTTACTACCAATCTGGACCATGAATACTTTTATAAATCAAATAGCAACAGGTAAATGGACTGGAACGAATTGAAAGATGAAATTGAGTAAATATTACTAAAAATGCCTTCATCAATATTCATACGTATTGAAGAGCCTCCGTCGTATCAACGTTATTTCCGACATTGACAATGGCAAAATGTGGGCAAATTGGCTCAGCCAAAACCTTATCAACAACCTCTTGCAAAGCACTCTGCAAAATAATTAAAAAAATCCATAGCTCAGTAGAACTACAAACTAGTTATCAGGTGAAATAATTGCACCAAGACTTTAAGGAAAGGAGGAATAAAAGCTAGAGAAGGCAACGTGAGCTCAAACCGACAGTAGTGAAATGAAGAAAAGCAGCCAACTTATTCGGTCAATCTTTTATTAAGGCTAACAAATGAGCCCGCTTATTCGGATAATCTTCCCATCGAACATTAACCTGTCCCGGTATCAGTTGGCCATTAGCATATGGTTCGGTTCGTTTAGCCGATTCGCTAATGTGGCTATGATTCACCGACAGCTCCCTCTACTCTAATGAGTGCTATAAAGACATCATCAGCATGAGAAGGAATGATATGTAACAGTGATGTGACACGAAAATGGCATCCCACCCCCGCATTTCAAAAGGTATCATCGTTTCAATTTCTCCCCATCCGCGTATCTGGGCATACACCAGGAATCTCCCACAAATGTACGCCCGCGAACGCACACACCCACTCTCTCTCTCTCTCTCTCCGGACCACTTGGTGTCAGACGCAGCACAACGATTCATAGTGTCTATATACTCCCTAACCGAGCTTACATGGACTAATTGACAGGATATCGCGAGAATTTCTGCCCGGGGACCAAACCAAACCGAGAACGCGCAATACCCAAAAACCTAACGGTGAAATCCAAGAGAAAGACCAATCCCATTTCGCCCCCCGAAAAAACCGACACCCCACCAACTCGAGAGGCAACAGAAAGGAAAAGGAGTTCTCGTTCGACTAAAAGATTACTTGAGCGCAAGGGTCGAGGGAGAGAGCAGTAGCGAGCTTGGGCCGCGAGAGGATACGCCCGCAGACCCGGTGCCACGACCTGCTGACGCACGCCGCCGACGCGAAGGTCGTCGCCGGCAGCCGCCGGAGGATGCTCTCGAGGACGTCCTCGTCGACGGAGCCGAATCCGGAGGACGAGCGGCCGCCCCGTCCGCCGCCGACGCCGCCGCCGCCGAGCTTGGTCGCCGGAGAGCCCGCCATTGGATCCACGCCGAGATCGCGTGCGGACACTGTCGAACGGTAGCTTAGCCTTCAAGTTCCGCGAAGCACTGAGGCTCCCTCGTCCTTTATATGAACGGCATTATTTTAAATATTTTTTTAATTAAATTAATTAAATTATTGAGGTACCGATTTCGTCATCGCACACGTGTCGCGCGGAGCGGGTCCCGTCCCCGCGCGGTCCGCACCTACCGAATTCTGTCCGTACCGAGACCACCACATTCTTAGTGTTCATGGCTATTAATCAGCAACCACGATTCTCAGAAAAATATCAAATAATATAAAAAGAATCACGTTTTTTTCACTCCCCTCTCGAGCGTCACATCCCCTTTTTCCGTATATTGACCATATTACTCTCGCTGAGAGTCAAAAGTGGGGCTCATTCGGAAATTTTCTATCTGTTTCTTTTTCTTTTTTTCTTTCACTTTTCGTTTTCTTCTCGGTGGTTTTCTTGATTAGGGACCTAAAGATCTAAAGATCACGCCGTCTCACGAATGGTTCCCTGATGAGATTGACGAGCTCTTTATTCTCCCGAATGGCAAGTTGCATACGCTTCAGGATTATCCTCTTCACATTCAGGTCTTGCTCGCGTTGCACGTGGGCTCAAGCACCTCAATCATTTTGTTTCGATGTTCGGAAATCATTGTGAGAATCAAAAGATTGCCGAAGAGAATTACAAGCCCTCTTTGCACTGGTAAAGCTTAGAGTGATCATGATTAGCATGGTTAATCCTTGTCTTGTTACGAAGGTTCAATGCCAAGGCCAAGCTCTAAAGGAAGTCTCGCTCTCCTACCTATTCCTCACTAATAATCTAAACTACATGGTGGAAAAGGCAAGGTTGACGAAACTCAAATATGCAAGGCATGCGAAAAAGGTGAGGTAGTATGCGGTGAGCTATATGGCCGCGGCGTGGAGTAAGGTCCTCTTGTCATTGCCAGAGGCGACGACCAAGGGATGATCACCAGAGGTGGCAAGGGCGTGTCTCCAGAGTTTGACACAGAGTTTGAGGAGGAGTACTAGAAACATATGTCATGGACTGTGCCAAACAAGCTAAGCGAGGAGATCAAGTTGTCCCTTGTGTTGGCATAGGGGTGGTTCTACCAGACGTGCGAAGGGTTTGTCAGGGGCGATGGCGAGGTAGAAACGAAGCTCGTGAGCTTATGTAAGACGATGTAATTGTTGTTGTGCATGCAGGTCTCAGAGGAGGAAAATGAAGACGCACCGACGATATGCATCAACACAAGCGAGAACAAGACCAAGGAAAGTCGAAGAAAAAAAAAAGAAACAAATAAAAAAAAAAGACCTCAAATTGACCCCATGTTTGACTTTGTGAGATACAGCATTCTAAGGTGGAAAAAGTGAGGGGTAATATGGTCAATAAAATGTGAAAGGGAGTGTTCGCGCCGAATGAGGAGTGGAAAAAGTGCCACCCTATAAAAATAAGAGATGATGACATAAACAGTTTTTGAATTTCGATTCAATGTACAATGTGGTCCCTGAATTTTTAATTTATTTAATATAGTCCCTAAATTTTAACCCAATATTTAATGTGGTCCCTAAACTTTTAATTTATTCAATATGGTCCCTGAACTTTTGATACAAATTCTATATAGTCCTTGAACTATATAAAAATATTCAATGTAGTCCCTGAACTTGAATTAATGGAAAGATTACATTAAACATTTTCATATAGTTCATGGACAAAATTGAATATGTACCAAAAGTTCAAGGATAACATTAAACAAATTAAAAGTTCAGAGACCACATTATCATATAGGTGATTTTGTCCGTATCCAACTTTTTTTTTTCTCTCTTTCTTTTTACTGTCGAAAACACCTGAGAAAAAGGAGGCGTCGATAGATTTATAGAACCTTTGGTTTGACCGCTGCTCTAAGGGCACGAATGGCAATATTTCTCTTCCTTGGCCCTAATTTTGGCTATATATATATATATTTCTCCTCCTGGGACGAGTTTCTGAGCAACAAGTAGCGTTTGATAACAACACAAAATTTATGTTCCCAGAATAGAAATTTGTTTGATAAGTTATTCTTAAATTTCTATTCTCGGCAGCCGGCCGGCGAGCAAGCGGCAGACAGTCGGCGGGTGGGCGAGCGACAGGAGGTGGTGGGGCGGCGGCGGCGATGGGCGGACGACGGCGAGTGGTTGACCGTGGGCGGCAAGGGTGAGCAATAAAATAGAGTTGATGTTAAAAGTAGAAAATTTTAACTTCTCATTTCTATTCCAAATCTATTTGTGGGCCAAAATTTGTCTCAAAAATTAAAATTAAAATTATTTTACCAAACAGATTTATGTTCCAAATCTGTTTCCGGGGACAAAAAAATAGAAAAACAGATAAATATAATGGTTATCATTCGCGCCCTAATGGCCCCATTGAAACCAACACATTCTCAAGTGGGCTTTCGAAGCGAACATTCTACCAGAGTATGAAACTCAGCGCGATAAGATACTAGTGATACGACAGATCTTCTTCTTTATTTTGCACGGAATAATAGAAGGAATCGGAACATCATTATGTGTATAATCTAGTAAAGAAATGAAAGATGTGAGGAGGAAATTCCGTTTCCCTTGATGGATTGTGGTTTGAAGTTCAGTTTTATATTCAAAAGGAAGAGAGAAGAAACAATTATACAACAATTGGTAATTTATTAAAAGGGTTAATAGCACGAATAATCTCAAACCGGTACACATGTGACAAATTTACCCAAAGATTAATTTTTTTACTATAAAAAATCTCAAACTCGTACACCCGTGATAAATTTACCATATATTAGTTTATGTTAAATTTTACAGTCAAATTGCCAAGTTGGATGACATGTGACAGTTGACAGGTGTACTAGTTTTGGGTTTTACCCTTCATTTATCATAAGTGTTCAAGTTTGTGGTTTATTCGTGGTATTAATCTAATTTCATGGAAATTAACAGAAGATAAATTTGTTACAAGTGTATTAGTTTGAGATTTTTGGTGGTCAAAAAATTAGTTTGGGGTAAATTTGTCACAAGTGTACCAATTTAGGATTTTCTTATGATCAAAAAATTAGTTCAGAGTAAATTTGTTACATATGTACCAATTTGAAATTTTTCGTGATATTAACCCTTATTAAAATAATGACCATTATAAAACCTCTATAAATCAAACGTTATAAAAATGTTACAAGGCCATTATACAGCCATTACAGAATGATGGCTTTCATGGCGGTTATAACTTCTATCAAAGCCGTTACTTTAAAATATTTTAAAATTATTGAAATATCAAATAATCTCCCACATATTTCAAAAGGTTGTGAAAAGAAAAAATAGGATAATGATCGGTTGTTAGAGTGTAATGTATCAAAAATAATGCTTGTTAGGTTATGAACCAGGCCTAAAAAAGAATGAAATATAATTTACGAAATCATTGTTGAAATTTGAAACTTATATGAATCAATAATTACTTTTTGTTAATTATAATTTTCACCAATCACATTACGGTCCCACGAATTTTGTTGTTCAACACGGTTTTGCGCTAATAGGCCATGTGCGTACTTGGTTTATTCATAAGTGCTCTAGTGATTATTTCTAGTGATTATTGTCAATAATTCTTATAGGCCCTACTCTACAGTTATATAGGTTATTCCATCAAGTGTATTCTGCAGTTTAATATACCACCAATAATGGTTATGAAATTCATTAAAAGCTTAGCTCAGTCTCTTTTCTATTGCAGTCTTGCACTATGATCACATTAGGAGGGAGCAGAAATTTTTAATAATACATCACTAGATCAACAAGTGACTTATTATTACTCATATGAACCTAATTCATGAGATCGCTAATCATATAGATTGGGTTACCATCTTTGTTGATTTTCCTCAACTAGTATAAGTCCTATTCCCCTCGATATATCATAAATTATCTTCCCAAAGGTCTAGAAAGAGAATTAGCCAAATTCACTTATAAATTCACATAATCAATGTACATAATTTCATCTTTTAGCAATGGCTTTCCACATTACGTCTCAACCGGATGTGTCTCTTTACCATTGAAAATTTCATTCTTTGCAATGGCTATTGTCGCTTTGCAATAGTTATTGCCACTTGGAAGCTGTTGATTTCATTCCCTTTCCTAAGAACTTGAGTAGTTCTTGAATCACCAAGATAAATATTTTTTTCTCCTTCCCCCTACTAGAGTGTTGGAGGATAAAACATTATGTTTTTGCATATATGCCCGGTAGCACCTGAGTCTACCACCCATTCTTTCGCATTAACCACAATATTGGCTTAGGAAATAACTGCAATAATTACATCATTATAATCATTTGCTTCAACCGAGTCAACTTTTGGTTTAGCAGGATTGTCATTTTCCCCACATTTTTTTGGCTGATTTTTAAGTTTCGGCACCTCCACTAAGTGTAAATAGTATTCATTAGTGGATTTTGTCTCATTAGAATTTAAGATCCGGTTAGCATTACAACAAGAAATCCACAAATGCATTAATTTATGGTTCCTCCCAGATATTTTGTTACTTTGTACAAGGGGTCCCAATAATCTCGATTGGGATTTTGCGTATATCTGCTCAGTCTAGTTTTGAGTGTTTAAAGAAGTTATATATAAAAAAAGGATCAATACGGACAAATTAAGTTATACCAGAGTCTTGTAACCACACTTAACAAAACAAACTAGAATAGATGCTCAAGTATGTCTATAAAGTGATCATAGAAGCATCTGTGCCGATTTGTAGCCGGAATGCTAAGTAGCACAACCAGCATAAGACAGCGAAATGATTCATTTGAAAATAAGTGAAAGGGTAGATGTTCATCACGGTCTGCTATCCAAGCATATAAATTGCATCTCTATCTCTGCAATACAAGTAGATCATACAGGTCTAAGTATTTACTAACACCCTCTTCATAGCGTACAAATATCTGTGGACTGACACGTATCAATACACACAGCACATGCACGCTTCAGAATATTATTAACCCTAATCATGCTACAGAGCATTTCCTCATAATAGTAAAGACATACATCCTTTATCTCTTACCAAAGCAACCAGTCTTCATCATGAAATGTGTATACCATATGCGATGACAAAAAAAGCGGGTAAAAGCAAACCTGCCCATTCCTGCGCATTGGATTTTGTAGTAATGGAAGTATCGATCAAATCCAACCAAAACAGCACCAACATCCTAGTCATGCTCGTCTGGGATTTCGATGGTGGCTACTTCGGTCGCCTTTTTGGTTTGTCTGCTGAATGAAACGCGAGTTTTACACGGAGAGACAGTAGAAGATGGAAAGGGAGGGGGCACAAAACAAAAGGAGGCCTTCTTTATAACATCCCCCACCCGATCCCACAGCAAAATAAGGAAGATGGATTTGGTACTTCGGTGCTGATTTCGATGATTCTGGTTCGATTGTCGAGTTCTTGGTGCTGCTTTACCCACCTCTCGCTTGGGATTGGTCCAAGGGTTTGATTCATCACGCGGGCTCAATTTGATGTTAGGGTTACGGGTCGATGTAGTTGGATTCCTTTCTGCTGCTGGAGCTGTGATGAAGATGTGGGGACCTTATGATTGACATGTAAAAGCGGACTTTTTCCATCATTCTCGTTTTCTCAGACATCTTTTCTTCCTTTTTTTGGCTGCTTCAGTTATGAAGCTTAAATGCTATATCAATGGACGAGAAAATGTAGATTGAAGAATGTGCTCTGCGAATCTGGAAATTCTGGAGTGTAGTAAAAATGGTTGCTTCACGAAAATTCGAAAGTTGAGAGAGAGTTGCAGAGAGAGAACGAAAGGGACAAGAAACCGGTGAAAAAGATGAGAAGCAGAGGAGAGAGGAGAGAGACAAAGGGAGATAGATTGAGATTTGAGAGTGGGCCTGCAAGCAACACGAGTCGCAGGATGATTGAACTTGTATTTTGCCGACGTGGAATCACTTGGGCTACCCAATATTTTCTCGAGTTTAACAGGTGGTGGTGGACGTAGAAACCCAAGTCAAGTCGCGTCGCGAGGAAAAGACAGACCTGCAACACCCAACTCAGAAAGAGAGTGGGACGTAGAAAATTCCAACCGGACGTGATTGGGAAGAGAAGCATGTATTGTCAAGCTTTGCCTGAAAATGCGGAAAACATGTTAAACAATGATTGATTTGCCAAAAAAACACACGGCAATCGCATTCCACGGCGATATAAACCCACGTGGCTTAATGCCTCGAAGAAATGGCACACGTGCCCCATAAGTTTAATTAGTAAACCTCGTTTGGCCATATCCTAACTCTGTACTGTAGCTTTGCCGGCGGCTTAGGACTCATCAACGGTGGTTAGCGAAGACTATCAAATTGTCCCAAACTTTTTGAAATTATTGAGGTAAACAAATGCCACAAGCGGCTATCTTATTGACTCCAAAAGAACTAATGACAAAATGGAAAATCTTAGCGAATCTAATTCGAAATCTTAATGTTGACTCTCTTGTACAAATCTAATGACGCGTTAGCTATAATATTGCTGTTAATATGCCTAATCAACATAGACGCATTATTGATAAATGGCGCGTTTGTTTCGCGAAAATGAATGAATGATTTAGAAAATATTTTCTTAGAATAATTGCTTGTATCGCTTACAAAAATGAACGGACGAAATAAACAGAGCCGAAAGTTGATTGTTTCTCGAAAGCTTAATCATCAATCCATGTCTTCATTGTTTTTTCTTTTTCTTTTTTTCATTACGTATGCCAAACGTATAATTTCCCAATTCTAGTTCACGTAATTTTCACATCAATCTCTCGGATAGCATGGATCGCCACGTCAACTTCACTATGTCGAAATTTGGAGATGGATGGACCTCAATGAAAAATAATCGCAAGTTTCAGGACTCGATTTCGGGCAAATTCCAAGTTCTAAGGACTATATCGAGAAAAGTACATAGCTTCAAGGACCCAATGCAGAACTTCTTTTACCTCATCGCTTACGTGCATCTAAAATCTTTATTAGCACAGACCAACGTGAAAATCAAGTTTGCTAAAACGACCCTGAACTTTAATTTATTTCCCCTTCACAAAGCATGGCCATTGGCCAAACATCAACTGCACACATGTGGCCATGATGCTGCCGCCTTTGAAGTGGATGGTGACGGCGAAGGAGCTTCGAGACGAATATAGTCGTACATGATCCCCTGGAACGGACTGCTGCTCCTCGGCTGCGCGAGGAAGACGATGTTGTCCCCTTCGCTAAGCAAAGTCCCCTTGATGTCCACACTGTACAGCCAGTAGAGCCCGTGGATCCCGTGCCTCGCGACCGAGTTGTCCCTCCCGATCAATCCGGTCGAGAACACCGCGTTCGACTTCGGGTTGTTTACCCGTACCTGTCGAGACGATGGGATCGCGTTTAGTTTTTTTCTTCTTGAATTAACATTGAAAAATCGGAAGGTTTCATCCGCTTTTCCTTTTCTTTCCTTTTCAGCAATGGTGATCTTGTGCAGATGTACCTGTAACTCGGAAAGCGTGGCAGACGCGAGCGCTATCCGGAGCTTGTAAACACCGTTCTTGTCCACGTTCGCGAGGGCGAACTTGATCTGCCATGTTGTGCCCTGATATGTTTTATCAACCTTCTTCCTGGAAAAGTTGAAAGATTGATTGAGAACGTGCAAGCTGCAGAATTGTTTTGAAAGTGCAATCCCTTCTTTTACACTCCATAACATGATGTCCTTAATGAGCTCTAGAAGGAGTCTAGTGACTTGTTATTACATTTACTATAACATGTATGTCTGATGAATGCACAAATTTATTAGAAGAGGATGTGTTACCTATTAACCTGCGCAAAGAACCAATCCTTGGAGTAGTCACTAGCGCCGACGGTGTAAACCAAATCTCCATCGGGATACAACTCGGCATATCTATCCCATAGTCCATATTGCCTAAACCTGTAAGCGAAATTACTTTAAATCGCGTCATAATTTAATCGAAACCTCCATCATCTTATCAGGCAGACAGGCATTTGCCTGATTTTTCGAGAAAGCCATGCACAAATCACGCAGAAACTGGAGAAAAGACTTAGCCATGCGAAGCAAATGATTTGTGCATAGATCCACTCTCATTGGGGTTATTAGCATTTACAGTTCATTTACAAAGCTCAAGTGTAATGTCCAACAGAAGTGATATCTTAGTTCATATTTGCTAGTGGATGTGCATCTAACCTATCAGGATGATTGACGTAGAGCCTGTTGATGTACTTGGGGTCGGGATCAGGCACATAGAATTCCGCCGCGGAGCGGTCGGGGATGCCGATTTCCCACATTGTTGGCCCGTCTCTTGGGGGCTTGTATATGAGATCGCCCACGTCGATGTTGCTGCCTGTGCATACATGGACGGCAAGTCACATCCGACTAACCAAATTTTGGTTACAAAGTTTGAGAGGAATTGGAAAGTGAAAAAAGGCACCTGGTGTTACGGAGATTGGAACGCCATACTTGTAATCGCCGATGCATCCAGGGACCCATGCGTAGAGATTGTAGTCTCCGGCCCATGCGTTGTTGATGGAGAAATACCCGTCCTCGTCCGCTCTAGTCCAGAATTGGTAGTCCTAAATCCAAGACCACATATTAACTCTTGTTAAAACTGTGCTTTTGAAGTCAACAGAACCAAAACTACCATAGCTGTAATCAAAGCACATAAGCTAGAGAAACAATCTCTCCTTTTGAGGGTTGTTCTTAATGTGAATGTTATGGTCATTATCATAGGTGATGTCTTTAGATCAGGAGAGCAATCTGAATAAATAGTGAAAGAAGCAAAGCCTAAGTCAGACGGACCTTGCATTCGCGTTGCCACGACCCGACATCGCCCGGTGGAGCTAACCCGACGTAGGCATTTTTCGCGGATATATAATCGTCGCTCACGTACCTATGGAGGCATCCATTTTCCCCACATGAACAGATAGTAAATATCGCAATAATGTCGGAGCAATTCTGAATAATGCATGAACCTGATTCTCTTTTCTGCCTTTTCTTTCGGTAGTCTAACCCTCGAATGAAGTGGAGGTCACAAAATTCTATGCTTTCTCTTTCACATATGAATTCGAGAATTATCTCGGCACTAGCAACAATTCTATCAGGCGAATTTGCAAAAGTTCGACAGACAAAGCATGCAGTTTTTCTTTGATCAGGAAGATAATTAAAAGGGTGGAATATTATATGATGTGGTTCAGCATATGTACCGGTCCAAGACTAGTAATCTGCCACGGACACTGCCTCGTTGGTCTGAGGAGGGAAAATCTTCTGAAGCCACAAAACTGTAAGGCCAACTCTCTACTTCCACCATCATCTGAAAAAGAAAGAACAAGAACAAAATTCCCATGTGCATGTTACAAACATTAGTATGTAATTAGAAGTCCAAGAGCTTAAGAACAAATAAAGGAAAAGGAGGAGGAGAAAAACCTGTAGCTTAGCACCCTCCCAGAGAAAAAGGTGGTCGACAGGATCGGTGACGGAGTTGACGTAGAGAAACACAGGGCCAAACACTTTCTTCCACTCCTCTCCGGCTTGGAACTTAGGCACCAGGTCGTCTCCCGTGTAATGGGCACTCAGAAACACCTGTAGTTCACATAAATCTCTACATATTATTATCAATATTAATTTGAAAAATCACCAGCAATGGATACCACATGCATGAGTAAAGAGTCACTGAATAAGTACCATCAAGCTAAAGACTCGCCATTCTACTTGTTAAAAGAAGAGAAGATGATCATCAAGAGAAAAGACGGATGGGCGCTAGGGCTAGGTATGCTGCCAAATACAACGTATTCTCTCACATTTTTGTGCACCGGCCTCAATTTGGTCTGTCGAACCATTTATAAAACGAGTATGCGTGATAACTTTGATTAGGTTGTGGGCCGACGTGGCGTACCGCTAGGGTGGTGGGGCCGACGTGGGAGGTGAGATTCTGCTTGAGGGGCCCGCCGGATCGGAACTCATTGCTGGGAGTGATTAGCCAGAATCCCACCGGCGGATCACTGCAGATCCAACCGTGCACCTTGCTGTCTTTGTTGTCACACGAATATTGGTATTTGTCGTCCACCTATTACGTCAATTGTACACAAGGATGATTTATTATTTGTTGGCCAAAGAGAAAAGAAAAAAGTACTTCAATTCAATTATATGAATGATACAGTAGAAAAAATCAACTATAGTAAAAAAAAAATTGTACGGGAATTTGCGTCTTTTGATAATGAAATATGATTCACTTGATGTATTTGCATATATATTGTAGAACGAGCCAACGCCATAGATGAGATTCCACTCGACAACATTGGTCTGACTTGAACTAGTTGGAGTCTGCTATCTTTTACAGTACTACCAGAAAAAGTAGTGATGCCATCTGATACATTATCGGTTTAAACACAACATGTTCTCCATATTTAAATATGTAGTTTCAGTTGATCAACATGGCAATAGAGTAAGAACTCAACAATAACCTAATAGATTATCAATATAAGAGTTAATTAACATGCCTCCCCTTTGAGATCAGGTTCAATCGGGTCGACGAGCAAGACAGCTTCAGGGTAAGCAAGTGGTTGGCCTCGTGGTGGTATACGGTCGTCCGGAAGCGGCAAGTACCTTTGCCTATTGTCAGCCATTGCCATGTACTGGAACCTACAATTTCCCTCCCATGCACAAAAACAACATGATCAAAAATTAGAAACTCCTAGATTGTGGAAGAACTGTTACAGGTCAGAAAATTGTAATGCATGTGTGTCTTGTTTGCTCAATTATTACTTGTCCTTCCTAAGCTTGAAAGCGATCCTCGTTTCGCCGAGGCTGAAGCCCGGCCAGTCCTTCAAGTGCTCGTAGATGGCGTAAGAGTAGAAGCCCGAGCTACCACTCAGCATTATAAACCTGAAATGGGTCACCATCGAACTCTTTCAAATTACGTTTAGAATATGCCAATATCAATCAACATGAGCACACATGCACAATAAGGTAGGGTTGCGATTCCTGTGTGTGACCTTTTATCAATGTTGAGGGGAACGAGCTTGCCTTCAAGGGAGGGATCATAAGTCCTCGTGAACGAGAGCTCCACCTGCTCGTCACTTTGAACTACCACGCTAAAACTTGTTCCTTTAATCCTGCATTTGAAATCTCAGTTCTTGAATGTATAGCTGAAAAATCCAAACCTATTATTTATGATTGTTTGCAATCGAAGAACATATGGGGCTGACGAGCGAGACGTGGCTAACGTGGTGGACAAAGAAAACAGATTTCGAATCGCTGAAGCTTCATATATCGGAACTGAGAGTCGATCAGGAATGGCACGATCACTTACACGTCGAATATCCCCGAGGAACTTCCTGGTGGATTCCATACAAGATCCCAATATCTACAAAATCAAGGAGAATTTAAAAAGGTTAAGTCAATTAATCTATTACAGAAAAGGCATTATATACATAAATGATCATTTTATTGAAGAATATTTATGCAGAAAAGATTGCTGGAGGCACTAGATAAATGTGTATAACATTATTATCTTGGAAATCTGTAAATATACATCTACATATATAAAACTTTACCCTCTGTTGGACTCATCGTTAAGAACTTCAAGTAGATTGTCAATGCCATTATATCGAATGCCAGTCACAATGCCTTCTGGCTTTGATAGAGTCACCTGGACAATGCCGTTGTCCATCACCACCTGCACATTCAAGTTTTAGCAAAACAGAAATCAGAGTTTCTATTTACCCAAACGAAAATGGAGGAAAATAAAATAAAAGACGATGACAGAATACTACATGGCGATCTTGAATAAGCAATTGCACTCCCAAATGGGACATCTTGAATTCGTCTTCCAAACACATGCAATTGTGAATGTAATTGCTATATATGTATATATATATATATATATATACCCACACATATGTAAGCTAATTGGACCGCCACAATGGTGGGGATGTTGGGGACTATACTTTTCTTGGACTGGAGATCAAGCATTCATATGCACTTTTTGAATGTCACTTAGTGGTCTCTCTTTACTTTGTCGCCACCATCAGCTTTGGTGTAGGAGGTACACAAGCGTGCAAGATTCGCCAAGAATAATAATGATAAAGAAAGCAAATTACTTAAAGATGCATCGACCCGAAAAATAAAGACACAGAGATGCATGAACGACCAGCGATAAGTAAATTACTGTAGGCCATGTTGCTCAATCACGTGAGGGCTTTGTTTTGTCACTTTCGCCGATCTTATTGAGTTAGGATAAATTTGTGATTGATGAAACCAACATTTAAGAGCATTAAGAAGGTTGAGTGATAAGCACCTGAAATGTCATAATCCATCTATGTGCGAGACCAAAGATGCAAGCACCTAACCCAGGCGGACTTGGCTGCAATATCCAAATCATAGGAGATGACAGAGGAAAAAGAAGGGTTCTGAGACCCCGGGGCGAATTAGAGAAAGGAGATCATATGTTGAATCGTGTCCCAACCATAGAATATGAACAACACAATGAATGCCGATAACATTCACTGTTTACTGATGTATATAGACATTCCCTTCAGAAAGGCCCCACGACGGCCCTCAAGTTCAACAGATACATACTAGCATTTTCTTTGCCAAATCGACTGAGCACGTTAATATTGCTCGAGAAAGTGCAACATGCACCAGTCGTACATGAAGAGGACGCAGATTGTCCTGTATATACAAAAACAGTCAATTCTGGGTCAAATAGACAACCTCTTTTTTCCTGAATATCATCATCTGCCAAAGAAACTATTGTAAACAGAGCCGAGTCCAACTCTACTTCAACCCAGAAGGGTGAGATTGGGGGCCTTCGAGACGCAAGTAGTCATACATGAGCCCTTGAAAAGGGCTATCGCATCTAGGTTGAGTCAGGAATATGGTATTTGCCCCCTCGTTTAGCAGAGCACCAGGTACATTCACGTTGAAGAGCCAGTAAAGCCCTTGAATCCCATGTCTGGCAATCGAGTTGTCCCTTCCTATAAGTCCGCTTGTAAAAAGAGGGCGTCTCGCCTTTGGATCATTAACTCGAACCTTCAAAAAAGATTCACATTTGTTTCTCAGTGAATTGTCTACTAATAGTGAAAGCAGATATACCCGTCCATACCTGCAATTCTGCTAGCGTAGCTGATGCAAGTGCAATTCGCAGCTTGTATGATTTGCTCCGATCAACGTAGCTTAGATTGAACTTGATCTGCCATGTAGTTCCTTCATGACTACCATCCTGTTTCCTCCTGATGAAAAGGCACGTCAATCTTAAATAAATGATCAGGACAGACATCCTTAATTGGACCCCCATGAGTCCGGGTTTAAGATGAAGAAACACTTTTTGGAAAATGAAAGAATCAATGAAATATGCATGCAATAACAAAGCAAGAACTTAGAAGATTGTGTTGTTCTCAACAGTTTTTAGCTTCTTATGTTGGAATCATCTCTAATGACGACTGATGAGTCAGTCTCATCAATCTTGCTTTTCGATCCTTTTGCACAATCTCAAAAACCAGGATGCATGGCACCAATTAAGCATGTTTCTTTCCTTTTTGAGCCTCTTTTGGCCAATTAGCTTGATCACACTATCTTTTTCTTCACTCGAGATGGATATAAGAGATGCAAAGACTGCTAAAAAGGATCAAAGGTTGGTAGAATTGCACCTGGGGACTTGAGCAAAAAACCAATCTTTAGTATGGTCACTAACACCAATTGTATAGACCAAATCCTTCTCGGGATACAATTCTCCATATCTGCTCCATAATCCATACTGCCTAAACCTGGCAACATCGTGAAATTGCTTAGGCCATGGGCTTTTGCAGAAAAGAAGTCCCACAGTTTTATGCACCATCGGGTGAAACCCATCTTTTGTGAGAATCAAAATCATACGATGTCCAAGAGCTGACCTATCAGGATGGTGCACATAAATTCTGTTGACGTACGATGCATCAGGATCAGGGACATAAAATTCTGCAGCCGAGCGATCGGGAATACCCATTTCCCACAAAGTGGCCCCGTCTCTAGGAGGCTCATATACCAGATCACCCATGTCATGGTCCAAACCTGAATTAATAGCTTTCTATCATATAATTCTCATAAAGAACAACCCTTGCAATTAAATAACTGAACGCGGGTTCAAAACCTGATGAAATGGTGATGATATCGTCGTGCCGGTAATCTCCAATGAAACCGGGGACCCATGCATACAGGTTATAGTCACCAGTTCTTACGTGCTTGATGGAGAAATACCCATCATTATCAGCTTGTGTCCAAAATTGATAGCCCTAAAAAGCATAGTAAGGTTACGATTCCGTAAGGGTGCATCAATGCATTACCTTTTGTCAAACAGCTTTTAGGAGTTATAGAAGAACCGTTCAAAATATGCTGAAGTCATTTTGGGAAATTTTTATTCTTGACAAACATTCAGGGTGAAAAATATGAGGCAAGCAATGATTGGAAATAGCACATTTGCTGCTATAGCCATGGCAACACTCCACTTCCACTTTCCTCTATAGCTACTTATTCTGCCACAAGTAAAGTTCATTTCATCACTATAACTTAAACTTTTGCATGCTTCAGTCTAAAAAATTATATAGCATTGAGTCCGAGATATTAAAAATCTACGAAAATGTCTAATATGAACTTCAAATAAAAATTCATTTGTCTGATCATTGAGGGAAGTAATCAAAGCATGAGAGCTAATACATCATGAGGGATATGCAGTTCAAAGATCATGATACTGTTGACATTTTCAGCACACTTTGTCTCTTCAAATTACCATCATGTAAATTATCATGTAATTGTGGGGAAGTTAGAATTTTATTGATGTATGATCTGATATCTCCCCCTTCTATGATATGACTAGAAGGAATAGATCCAGAACAATTTCCATGACTGCAACATGCGTCCCTCATGTACGTGCTGCTTGCTTTTCCAAATATGTACTTTTCAGGGTAAAGTTAACTAGTCTCGTCATTTGATTCCACTAGATTAAACAAAGGCTAAAGGATTCTATAAAAAGTCAATGATAACATCCAAAGAACAATGAAATTCTACTTTGATCACGCAAACTGATAAGAACTCCAACTCATGCTGAGCCTTTCGTTTGGACATGAGCAGGCTATCATACAGGAGATTTTAAAGGCAATGCCGGATGCAGGTTCACTGCGAGCACAGAAGGTGATCTAAAATCAAGAGTAAAGAAACTAGAAGCAAAAAGATAAACATTGACATGTCTGCCATTAACCAAAAGAGTTCATTGAGGTTACCTTACATTCTCTTTGCCAAGATCCAGCATCTCCTGGTGGAGCCAACCCAACATAAGCTCTTTTTGCCGAAATGCAGTCCTTGCTAACGTACCTAAGTGTCAATGTTACAAATATCTCACTATATTGCTCGTACTAGAGTTCATGCTCTCAAGATATACAGATAATCCATGATCCACTATTTCAAATTAGTCCAGATCGATCATTGTGTTGTAATAAGTCAAATTAGAGAATCCACCATAGCATCCCCAGATCACCAAGTTCCTCAAAGTAAGAACTTCCAAATTCATCATGTAGATTAATTAGATATTATGATGAAACATCAATATGCACCTTAGCTCTGTACCTGTCCCGGACTAACAGCCTGCCCCTGACATTACCCCTTTGGTGTGATTTGGGGAAATCTTCAGAAGCCGGGAAATTGTAGGGCCACCTTTCAACTTCATTCATCATCTAATAACATTGAGTATGCATTTGTGTCACTTTATCAGATGAGATTTAACCATCCCGCTTAGTTTGACAGTTCTCGTTTCTGTACAAACCTGAATCTTAGCATCTTCCCACAGCCAGCGTGGATCGTCCCTAGCTGATGCAGAATTAAGGTAGATGAAAACAGGACCGAAAACTTTTTTCCACGGTTCACCAGGTTCAAACTTCGGCACCAGATCCTTTCCAGCATAATGGGCACTGAGAAAAATCTGGTGACACCATTCCATTAAGAGAGAGAGAGAGAGAGAGAGAGAGAATTGCCAAGATGTATGTTTAATCACATCACGTCATGAGAACCTTTAAAACTGTATCCTTTCCCTAAGGTATCACTTACAGCAAGAGTCGTTGGGCCAACGTGGGAAGTTAGGCTTTGTTTGAGCGGTCCACCAGATCGGAACTCATCACTGGGAGTAATTTGCCAGAACCCAACAGCTGGATCACTGCTAATCCAACCATGGACTTGGATATCCTTGTTATTGCATGAGTACTGGTATTTGTCATCCACCTTCCACAGAAAAGTTTATAACTTGAATCTACTGACCGCATAAAAAACTTCGGTATAGCATGCGAGTGACTCAAGGCCAGATGTGGGTCTACATGGCTTGGATAAGTACCTCTCCCCTATGCTCTGGATCCACAGGATTAACAAGCAGGACAGCTTCAGGATATGCAAGAGTTTGGCATCTTCCCGATAACCGGTCATCTGGTAGTGGCATTTTCCTTTGCCTATCATCTGCTATGGCCATGTAATGAAATCTGTTTAATTGGGGGTAAAAAACAGCCACAGTTAAGTTTTTCCCAAGTTCAAGAGTGCTAAAATTTAGAGCTCTGATTCTGCTTTAGCATTTTCATCCAGAACAGTTCATAAAGATCATTGTTCAGCAGAGCTAATCACAAATCTGATAGATCCATTTACTTGTCTTTTCTGAGCTTGAAAGTGATTCTTGTTTCGCCAATTTCAAAGGGAGGCCATTCCGCCAAATGGTCGTAAATGGCATAAGAGTAAAAGCCTGACGATCCACGAAGCATTACAAACCTATGGACAGAAAGCATCAAGCTGTTAATCTGATTAACACTTGGGTCGAGATAAGTTAAGTCTGGCTTGAGCACGGACCTTTTATCTATGTTTAAGGGAACATACTTCCCCTCGAGAGAGAAAT